TAAACTAATCAGTTTTGTTTCTATAGTTCTACAACTTCCTAACTAGGAAGTATTGTACAGTTAGTTAACTTTGTAAAATATCACATTAAGCCAAAACACTTAACTACAAAAATGACTTGTGAGGTAGATATGGTTGACCGTAGATCAAATAGTAGGGGAACATGCTTAGTAACAATAAAAGAAACACAGAGATTAAAGGAAAACTTTTGAAGAATTCAATACTAATATAAGCAGCATCTTCAAACAATTAATTTTGTATTTAAAAATATTAATATAAGCAGCATTTTCAAACAATTAATTTCGTATTTTAAAATTAATATAAAAAAACTTCTATCTTCCATTTGTAGAAATCAATCTATCATATATAATGTAAAATAATTCATTTTCTAAAATTTGCTATTTGAAATTTTGTCAATAATTTCAATCACTAACCATGTTGAAGTATTATTTTAATTATTTAATAAAACCTCTCCATTTCCCTTAACTATGAAGAACATAGCTATTTTTTATTGTTATTAAGATAGAACTAACTTTTTATATATGTTCTATATAAAAGTAAATAATATTTAGTGTTTTTTTAATTTCAAAAATCTTATTTTATACGTATTTATATTCTTATTATATTACCTATGAATAATAATTACTAATCATCTTAACTTAACAAATATTATCAATAAAAATTTAACACATTGTGGTCTGAACATGTAAATATATGTTTTTTGCAAACTGTGAGTAGAGCACCGGTCATGTAGTTACAGATCTTTTATTGCCCTTTCTCATATATTGAATTACAAAGTACAAGCATACACAAAACAATAGATTAGATATATTGAATTAACTATGTTAAATCCTGCCCCAGCCGTTATCTATGGGCACAAAATGCCCGACCACAATTTGTTAAAATATAAATTGACTTAAATTGTACCATATATGACTATAGAACAACCTTAACAATAAATAAATATGAATATATTTTTTTTTCCATTTTTCTAACACATATTTGTTGGCTGTAGGCTACATTAATGTATTCTTAGTAAAGGAAAAATAAACTTAAATAGACCAAATAAATTTGAACATTCATGAAACTTTAGTCAGAATTTTATCTTAGTTGTAAGAATTGAGATCTGCAGAGAATCCTCCCTGGAGGGGGTCTGAATATTGGCAAAATTATTTGCACAAAGTAAGTCGAGTAACATATTGTTAGTCATCTTTTTTTTTTTTTTTTTTGTACGAATCAAAAGAGACAACTCCCATAATAACAAAGTCAATATTTTCAAAAGTTATAGCCAATTTAAGGTTAATAACACAAAAATCACATTATTTTGCTGAATGATGTTATTGAAGGATAATAAATACATAATTCTACCTAGTAATTAATTCATAAGAAACCAATAGATGATTTGTCTTCATATTTTAAATGTGAACTAGATTCTTTCTCCCTCGATGAATTTTTGAATGAAATTTCTTGAATGAAGAAATTTTGTTGTTCATTTTATATATCATATATTTTTACTGCATTACATTGCCAAGGAACTGTTCTTTATTGCCATACAGCTTTATACTTGATTTATAATGAATTGATGATCAAAGCTCTGGTAGTTGTTCACTTCTTTCGCTACTATCGGTACTATCAGTTTGATTTATATTTGTTTTCAACATATTCAATGTACACTTGTCAGACTTCATCAATATACGTTTATTTAACATGTAGATTTATTCCATTTGACAGCATGAAGCAGATAATCCTCATTAATAATGGACATTTTGCTTTGGACAAGTCATCACACTCGAAACTTCTTATAAATCATCATACTTAGTTTTTTCCTCTAAAGTGCTTAAAAATAAAGATATTGAGTATAGAGCTAATAATTGAAATCTATTGGTTTGTTATCAATTGCCTACTAGGTACAACTATGTATTTATTGTGCTTGAATAACATCGTTCAGCAAAATATTGATTCTATTGTTATGGGAACTGTCACATTGGATTCAGAAACAAAACTATGGCAAACCTTACTTGACTTACTTCGTGCAAATTATTCTGCTCCTATTTCACTCCCCATTCCAACCCCTTCATCCTAGGAAAGGTCATCCATTTGAAATTTGGGCTGGCTCTGCAGGTCTCGATTCCTATTACCAAGACTAAGTTATGACAAAAATTTACAAACGAACAAATTTTGTTTTTTATTTAATATATTTTTCCTGTAATATCTGTCCAATGATAGAAGAAAAGAAAACAAAAAAGAGCAACAGAAACAACTCAAACATAAAATGAACACTTTGAAATTGAAATGGGACACACAACATACAGCAATTCCAAGGACAATATGTCACACAAAGTGCCTACATTGTACTATCACAGCTAATTAAAATGAAAAAACAAATTTAAAAATGGATAAAAGGAAAGAGACCTAAACGAAACTGGCAACAGCTAAAAAAAAATTACCAATTTTATACACAAAATAAAAGTATTCTCTTTCCTTCAATTCCATTCAAATAAAACAAACGTGAAGAAGAAAAGCCTGTTTAAACTGTGATACACCAGAATAATAAATGTAATGCATTGCAGGTTAATAATTTTCATAACACTAACATGCACGCTACTCATTGTTTATAAATGAAGAAAATAAAGCATTGTTTTTAAAAAAAAAATTGTTATAACAGAATATTCCAATATTTAATCTGAAAATTATTATTAATAAATTTATTTTTTGTAGTTGTTTCTATTCTATATAGATTTTGCACTACAAGGTCATCCTCTGTATTGAAAATTATTTTAGTAAATACTTATTACATTATTAATTGAGAGAACTTCAACCATCACTCATTATAGATCTTGTCATATTTCATTTGTTACTTATTTTTCGTGAGTAAATTCGATTATTTGCATCAATTAAGTTAGCATTTATTATATTTAGAGTTATCTGGAGCCATCAACTAGAAATGAACTTGTAAAATCCAAAGCTGTGTGCTGGTGTTAAGTAATTGTGTTTCAGTTTGACATTGAATACATAGAGCAGCGGTAACCAGAAACTAACTTAGATAAATTAAACAAAAAGGGAATCGGAGAGAGCTGTAGAGGAGAATACATATATAACTCTCAAGCATCAAAACGAAAAAATAATGATTCTTTGAAAATTGATAATACTCTATTAGTCCTTCATCCTAAGGAGCTGACATCTACTACAAACTGTGGTAAATTTAACCGCAAAACAGGACTGATAAAACCATATATTACTATATAATAAATCTGTATAATAAATAATATACCGATAATTGGTAATGGTCTCTATACACTAACATAGTGAACATCAATTAATGCTGAGTTACTCAAATTATACCAGGATGATGATGTTTCAATTATCATAAAAACTTATCGACATTGCTGGTATGGATATTTCTCCTGGATGAGTGAATACAAAAAATGTTTTTAGACATTCTGTACACAAATACTTCTACAGACATTCTTTTAGCGTGTTCAAACCACTGTAATCTTTTCTCTTCAATATCTGCAAAATGTTCTTTTTTTATTTTTTACTTATCATTTCCAGAATTCTGTTTTTTTTTTTTTTGTTACTTCTATCCCTTCTAGATCTTCTCAGCCCTTATGCTAAAGTCCATTCCCATAATAAGTAATCTTTTCCAGTATCTGGATTTAATAACCAATATTTCTGAAACATATGTTGTTACCGGCTTAAATATACATTTGCATATTAGCCTCTTTGTATTAGACTGCATATTAAAGCACCAGAAGACACAACTGAACATTGCAGTAACTTTTATTCCTTCCCTGATTCTCCATTAAATATCACTGACGGAGGTTCCTGCACAATTGAATATTGACATATCCACTGTTTTGACACCTTTTTTCAATCGGCATGTTATCTGTAGAAGTACCAAGGTGCTCTGTTATTTTAAAATGAATTTTCAGTCCCCACTTATCATATGAATCTATAAATTTTCTAAACATATAGTTAATGTCCTCTCTACCTTGGGCAAGGATTACTTCATCATGACCAAATATGAGATATTTATTGCATACATCTTCTCTAATTCTTATTCACAAAACAATTAATAAAACATTTAATTATTCTGAACACAAACTAGAGAGTCGATAAATTATTATTAAAAAATAATCCAATACTAGAATAATTTTTATTCTTCATAATCTCTATATAGTACAATCCGATATCTTCAAGGATCCATGAATATGCATTATCAAGATATCTAACTAAAGTTAATAAAAAGAATAAATTAATTTTTATTTAAAATATCTTTTCAAGCCCATCAACTTTGTATAAATTAGAGTTATTTATTTGGTATTATTAGAATTATACTCTCCTCGGTCCAAAACAACAAATAAATAAGGTACATATCCGACCAATGAAAATTCACAGAGCATCGCTTCTTCACCAGCTGTACAAGATTATAATCCCTATACTGAAAAGCTACCAGTACTCCATCCTTCGGCGAATTGCTTGAGGAACCCACACACTTCAAAGAGGCCAATAATTTCAATACTAATTCTTGGATAAAGGCCCTATTAATTTACTATTGTTCCGCATCAGAGAAGTAAAGTTATTTTCGAATATTATTTTTGAAAAATACAATTGTTTTTTTTAAAATAATATAACAATATTTTTATTTTTCTTATTTACACTCTGTTGACAGTTTGAACTGTGTGAAATATTATGTATAGCATATTAAAAGTAAATACAAGAAAAATAACTGCTAATTGTATAAATAACTTTCTGCAATGATTCATACATAGTGAATTAAAAAATGTTGAGTAAATATGAATAAAATATGAACAAAAATCCAACTATTAAATATTTAAACCCATGAATATTAAATAATTAGTTTACAAATAAATAAAACATACAACATATAATTATACTGATTTTAAATCATAAAATGTTAGAAGTTTTATTTGCAAAAGTAAGTATTCTGTTTCCAAAGCAGTTAATAAAACTTCTTAATTAAAATAAAACAGCTACTTACCGTGTCTATGAACCCGCATAGCACTCGTTGTTATGTCAGTACTTAGAGTAAAATAAGGGACCCACAGGTCTTCTATACGAGTCTCACCAAATGTGCCTTGGATAGTTCGATTAAATGCTCGACCAGTGAACATTGACGTGACCGGATAGGTCAGATCAAAAAGTAAAGTCCACCACTGATTCATTTTCTAAAATAGATTGAAAAAAAAATTGAGGAATTGATAAAATCATTATTTATTGTTTTCAATGCTCAGAATAATATATGAATAAGAAATTCACATAAAATACTCTATAAAGAAACAAAGAAATAAGAAGAAAATGACCGATTATTCTTAACTTTATTTACTTATAAACAGTGCGATGAAGAAGATAGTCTGACGGCTGTTGATGGAAGATATGTTACTTTGTTGATACATTTCACTTAATATTTAAATAAAATTTAAATCTACCCCTAAGGAATTAATCTTAATAATTAAAACTGTTGAGAATACAGAACAAAGCGAATAAGTTATAAAGCAAACACTATTTTTGGTTGAACTACGAACATATATAGAAAACTGGAGATTTCACCACATAGAATATGAGTACAAATGAAATGAATGTAGCATTAATAAAATCAGAATAAAAAATAAAAATTTGTTTTGATTAATTGAAATATATATTCAGCAATTGATATGTAAGCATCGAATGTGCAACAAAGTTTGCAGTATCCTTATTTTTTATTTTTTTTTTCCGGTCCTCCCCTTCCTCGCCTTTAAGGCTATACGGGGGTTTTCCAGGGCCAGGGAGTGTGGGCGGAGATTTTAAAACTCCTCCAGGCACCAGGACGCGAACTCGTGACTATTGTTTTTATCAAAGTCTTATGTATCAGGTTGCTGGGCTACGACCGTGCAGTGCACACGCGTTAGCCCATTCGGCCACCCCGCCCACATTAATAAGTTTGTAGTAACCAACTCATTATCAAATACTTGACAAAAATAATTGATAATTTACCTTTGACCATTCACGGGCTTTTTGTGTTACTGTAGCAGTATCCCGATGCATACACCACAAAGCACCAATAAAGGCTCCGATACTCACACCGCCCACCATGTCTATTGGAATTCCAGCTTCCTGTAAAAAGAATAACATTATGTTCATTAAACCTAATTATCTCTACAATTTATCAAATCTGAGGAAGAAAATAAAGCAAATCTTATTAATCCATAACTCCCAACATTAAAACAACAATTTTAAAGAAGAAACTCTAATTTTAAAAACTCTTAACCCATAGAATATATAACTCTCATTTTACTATTTATTTTTTATCTTTATGTCACAACTAGCACATTCATTAACTATTGGCTCAATTTAGTAAAATAATTTAAAATTTAAAATTAAACAAAAAAGAATCTCATAAAAAAAAAATTATCTGCAGTTTTCAAGGATAATTTGAACCCAAAATAAATAATTTATTAGTTTATAGTTTTGACCATTAAATCTATATATAAAACCTGTACCACTACAACCCATGAAGGGTCTGGGGTTCAGTAATATTTAGGGAAAGCACCGTTTCTAGGTCAACGGTTGTGCAAGGAGGTGATTTGACCGAGATCACGCTCAACCGCCAGGTTTCTCCCCTTAATCAATTATTTAATTAAGAGTACCCACTTTATGGAGGCTGGCTGTACCCCAGGAGGGTCTCCCGACCCAGGTCGCCCCACGGTCAATGAAACAGATAAATAAATTTTCTGCCATGAGCCGGGGTTCGAACCTGGGACCTTTGCATTGGAAGCTCAGTGCCCTACCACTGAGCTACCCCACTCCCTATTAAACATATACATAAAAAAAATTATTTAAATTTAATTTATAATATGTTATTAATTTTAAAATTGTAAATGACCGAATAGATCCGGTAATGCTGAAGAGGGGGTGAGGGAGGGAGAAGTATCTCTGAAACTTACATATAAAAATAATAAAGAATAATACTATAAATTAAGAATGTTTATTTATTAAATTGGAAGTATGGGTAAAATGTGAGGAGAGAAATAACAAAAATGATTTTGTCATAAACAAGAATATTTGAATTTTTTTCCTTACATTTTACAGTAAGTTTTTTTTTAGTTCATAGAATGTTAAAAAATGTGACTGTTGATATGATGGTTTGATTAATTTATTCTTTCATAGTTCGTTGAAACAACAAATATATTAACATTTAAATAACTTCTTTCATTTTGACATTAGAGGTTTTTATATAACCAGTGCTAAGGATTGTTAACCTCTTAAATATGTAAAGTTGAGAAAATTATTTATGAAATGTATGTTAAATATGGACTCGATATAGCCCACTCGATCTTACAAAGCCTAGGATCCTGTAAAGTCTAGCTAACTTCATATACGCATTGAGAACATTATTCTAAGGTTTTAATGTGTTTGATTATTTTTTCTTTGATTGTGTACAATATATGCAGAAATGGAATGTAAAGACGGCCAAGATTTCATCAAGTTCTTTGCCTTCTGAATCATCTGAATCTTTACTAATGCTTTTTAACAAAGCATTTTTAACAAAATAATCCAGCAAATCAGTCTTTTCACTTCGCTTTGCATTTTAAAAATAATTCAAAACATTGGTAGATTAATTAAGAACTCACAAACTTTGTTTACAATACAGGCATAACCTTACTATAATTAATAACACGTTAGCACATTACACATCTACAACAAATGCTAATATCCCTACAAAAAATTACAACAAGTAACAAATATCCCTAATATCTGATGTTTTATTTAAAATAGAATAATAATGTTTATATTTATAATATTACAGATTACAGTAGGTATTAAACAAATTACAAACATTATCATAAAATGTATTTTAATAGTGATCATTCACCTCTAATGCTTTTAGTATTCCAACATGTGACGCTCCCTTAGCTCCTCCTCCTCCTAAAACAAGCCCTATAGAAGTTCCGGTCAGCCAACGACCAAGTCTCGCAAAGTCAGAATGTATGTTAGGATCAGACATTAGAACCTTTGCATACAGCTCATTCTAAAAATTATAAACAAGTATTAGAAACCAAAGTATATATAATTGATATAATATGTGGATGTTGAAAGAGGAGTTGTCCAGAATTTTTTTATTTACACTTGTTTGCAAATTAGTATATCTTACAGCTAAATGCATATTTTTGTGCTAAAATGTTCAACGACACATCTCCTAATAGGTGAAATCAAGACAAAGTTTAATGGTTGTAGTAATAAACAATTTTTTTTTAATTTCTCAAAAAAATAATGATTTTCTGGAAATTTCCTCTTTTAATTAAGGTAAATAAAATAAGGAGAATGCATACAACTCTGAATTGAGATCGTCTCGAAAACATCCTTTTGGAACATAGAATATGATGATGGGATGATATCCATTGGCGCATATTTAACCATTCAATAGTATTGTTAGGACGTTCAACACCCTCTTTGTGAAGTAAAACTAATTCCTTTTGTGTCCTTATGGATAACCTCTCAATTTCCAATTCAATCTACAATGAAGAAAAATAACATGCATATTAAATAAATAATGATTATATATAACTTGAATAATAAATAAATAAGTCAATTTTTTTTATCCATTAAAAACTGATGAGTTCTAATATTCCTCAATCAATGATAAGATCCATTTTTAAGGAGAAATAAAAAATCCTCACAGACTTTGAAAAATAAAGTAAAGCACTTAAAGAATGTCGAGAACTCGCAACTAGAAATTCATTTTAAAAAATGTTTTGTAAAATAATAGAAATCAAATATTACCAACATTTATGCAAATTATGACTGGCTAAAAAGGTTTTAAAAAAAAAATTATAAAATTTAAAAAACTTATGCCAGAAATTGTGTGTAATTCAGCCAAATTTTGATGTAAATAAAAAAACAAGAAAAGTAAAGTGGTAATCAATTCTTTTGAGAAATAACGATAATCGCACAAACAATAATAAAATTTCATATTAACCTTGTTAGTTCCGATTTTATCTTATTATTATTTTGAGTAATATTTGTAATTTGAGTAATATCTAGAAAATTCATATTTGGACTCTTGATGATAAGCATTATCAAGATTCTACAGTAAGAATTTTTAAAAACACTCAGAATTTTTTTAATTTTTTTTTAGTAAAGTATGCACACCTTTCCAATGGTTGGCTCTTTGAATCCCAGAGCTACGATCAGGACGCAATCTGCTTGCCTCAGGCACCGCTGTGTCCATGGAGTAACACCATGATCACACTGATAAAGACATATTCTATGGGCATCCTCTTGTTGAGCTAGCCATGAAGTAAGCCGATATTCTTGGCTTGCATCCATTGCACTAAGACCTAATTCCTTACGAACTATATCAGAAGTCAAACGTTTCGTCAAGCCTAAAAATTAATTAAAACAACAATAAAACCAAAAGATTTATTTCATTTATCATAAAACTTTTCAAACAGTACAGTTATCGCTAATAAAAGAGTTAAAAAATTTAACATATTGTCTAAATAAGATTCATAGTAATTATCTAATGCAGTAATATGACCTTATGAGAAGTTTTAGTACTGTATCAAAACTGACTATTGGCAAATATGCCCAAATGTTTTTAATTTTAAAGTAAGTTTTTCTCCCTTGAAAATGGTTTAAGGGCAGATATATTAATGAAAAAAATATAGAAAGACAAATGGATCAAACGTGTAGTTGTATAATTTATAATTAGAAATAAGAATCAAGTCTTAACCAAATACATTAAATAATATATATTGAATTAATTTTTTTTAAATATTGATTTCCAAACACAATTTGTTCAGTATTATTGATTAAATAAATCTATTGTTTTACCCGGTTCAGGATTTCTAAGTCCTGATCAAGAACAACATGATGTATATATAAATAGTTAGATGAAATATTATCTCAGCAGGTTAGTGGAACAACTACTCTGACGCTTGAACACTTCAAATTTATAGTTAAAGGTCAAATACAGTTCGAAACCGAGGGTTTCCTCCCGTAAGTAATCGGCTTGGATAGGGGGAGGGGGAAGGTGATATATCAGGATGCTTCTGAGAACGCAGCCCTTCCACCTGACTCGAGGAAAGGAGGAGCGAACCCCTAACCCTAGAACTTAAAATATCAAGAAACCTAAAACATTTTCCAGGAGGGCCTGACTCACCACGACTTATACTGTCAAAAGGAAGGAAATAAGATGAAATATTATTAATAATTATAATGAAAAAATATAAATATATATATACTTACCAATGGCAGTGAGGGAATGATATAATTCATAGGTGAACGCTGATAATGGTAGATCATCAGAGACAGGAACAATAGCCACAGTGCTAAAATTATTGTGAGCAGATCTACTATCAACTTTACCTAACCCTGAAGTTGGATTTTGCCAAGAACCTGTTGAAGAAATAATTGCAGTAATGTAGAATTGAAAAAAACAATTTTAAATCTTATATATAAATAGAATCACCTCAACTCTAAATAATTAATCAAATACTTTGGAAATAAAAAAAAATTAAAAAGAATATAGATAATGGGTGAGGTGGCCGAGCGGGCTAACGCATGTGCAAAACATGTGTTGTCCGTCAACCTAATAAAAAATAATTACAAGTTCGCATCCCAGAGCCAGGGGCTTTATAACACTGGTATCAATCTCCCACACTTTTCCTATGGTCCGGGAAAAACCCTCGAGGAAGGGGTGGAAAAAAACGTATTTAAATCAACAATCTTTATCAACAAAATAAAGATTAACTTCATCAAATTTAAAAGTAAATATTTCAAAATATAATTTTCTGCCTAAACATATGCACATAAAAAACAAAGTAATATCAAATGATAAAGTTATATAATACCCATACAACAAAGAGTTTCGATACTTTCATTTTCATTACTGAAATATTCCCGATCATGCTTTAATTGGATAATTAATTTTATCTTGATATTATTTTATTGTAATTTGAAATATCCAATATGTAACAGTTTTTATGCAGTGCATAACTGTTTTAAGAATCATTAAAAATGGCTCCAATTCTAAGTGGTTATATTATATAAATAATAAATATTATTTTTATTTGACATTTAACACAAAGATTGAATATATGTACTCCATTCATTTAAATTTTATACTGAGAAAAAAGTCAGACAAAACCATCTAATTTCATTCATGCTCTAACCACAACAACATACATATTTGTATAACTTTATTAACAAATTAGACCTGTTTTTACCTATGATTCGATGACCTAGAAGGTTTATCAACCTAGTCACAACTGTTGGGAAACGCAACTTGATGGCATTGAACAGACCTTCAGGGAGTTTAGCAAGTTCAGAATCTCTAACGGCTATCACAGTTGTACTTCTTGGACTCTGTGTCACCATCTCAACCTACAAATAAAATTATAATGGCTTTACATTTTAACAAAGCTTTATTTACATTTAGTGCATATTCAAGCAAACATTAATAACAATGGGATGAGCGCATCCCTAGCAGGTAGAAGATAAGCGATTCTAATCTGAGTGTGAAACTAAAGGTTTATTTCTTATGCCCACCATAAAATGAATTTCAATTCATACTTAGAGCAGATTTGAACTGATATCACTTCTGACTAGATAAGTGCTAATATGACACCTTAACACACTCAGCCTCACAATTTAATATTTAAATTAATAGAAAAACTTATTTTTTTATCAATAAGAATTCATAGTCACTTACGATTCCAACTAAATCTCCTTTACCATATTCACCAACTAGTTCCTTCTTCCCATTGGAATGTGTAATGACAGATCTCAATCGACCACTCAATACAATGTATGTACAATCAGACTCATCTCCTTGTCTATAAAAATATAAAAAAAGAAATTTAATAAATGATTAAAAAATAAAAATATAATTTTCATTTTTAAAACTAAAAGAGTTAATGACCTAAGAACTAATGGAGTGAAGAAAAAGTTGAATTAAAAATAGGAGAAAAATAAATTATGAATAAATATAAATATATTGACTTGAATATATAAATATAAATATATATTAAAATGAATATATTGAATACATTACCTATAAACAGCTCGCCCACTTTCAAGGAACACCCAGTCAAGAGCAAAATCAACTTGTCGAACAAATGGAGAGAGCCTTCTCACAACTGTATGAGCTATATGCAGAACTACTTCAGGTTTTTCCCTTAAGATGCTGAAAATTATATTATTTCATAAATCCTTAAATGAACTCAAATTTAATTTAAACAAAAAAAAAAAGAAGGAAATTATTGTTTCATTAACTTATAAATAGTAGTTTTTGATATCATGGCAACACAAGCTGCGGTTTTTGTCCTGATGCTGAAGAAAGAAGGTTCCCCAGTGAGAACTGCCAACCCTCCAACAACTTCACCAGGATGCGCTGTGAACATGTGTACTTCATCTTCCTCTTCTGCTGAATTCTGAGATACATTAAGCAATCCACCCAAAAGATATAATAATGCGATATCCTGTAATTAATTACATCTCTTTGATTATAAAGCATACAAGAAGCAATGTGACATTTACAATAAGCTATAAAGTACCAATTAATATTAGGTTATTATTGGAAAAATTCCAAACCATCCTCTATGCAAATGGATTTCATGGAGTGATGTCCGATTAGCTGTTCTTTTCTGTCCCGAAGATGCCTGAATTGGCGAAACATTGACGGGTTTTTTTATTGCCTGCATTTTGAAGACATAGTAGGTTTCAAATTTTTGCAATAATAACCGAACATTTATGTCAGTCTCTTGATTGAAAAAAAATGAAAGCCTCAACAAAATTGAAAGATAAATAGTTTTATGCGAAAATTGAATAAAATTTACTTTATGTGCATCATCTCTCATGAGATGTGTATTCGGAGGAACAGTTCGGATGTCAATATTTCCATCTAACAAACTACTGTCCTCTAAACCAAGTTCACGAACAAAGGCTTCTGTAGCAAGCTTCCTAAGTACTTCGCTATCTAAGTTTTCAATCCCTTTTTTCATAGAAACGCCTTTGATAGTTGAATCTGTAGGCTGAAAACAACAATAATTAAAAATTAAAAGACTATTATAATTATTTCAGTTATAAACTCATATTTTTTCATCATTTTAATCATACTTAAGATATTGTATTACAGTAAGAATTTTTATAAATGTTATTTTAAAATATCATGCACTAATCATGATCCCATAGCCAGACATTTTGACCATGCATAATTAAACTAATAACATTCATGCTTAAGAAAAAATAAGCCAAATCCAACACCTTGGATAGCGGCTGTTTGTTAAAAACTATATTTAACATAACAATATTAGATTCTTGAACAACCTTAAGTTTATACCAAATTGCATGAAACAGCAATAAAAGGAGTATGTTGCTTTGATAAATAAACAAATTACTCACTAGATGACAGGGCAGTCTTGGGTTCAATACTATTTAAGGAAAGCACTGTTTCTTGGTCAACGGTTGTGCAAGGAGGTTATTTGACCGAGATCACGCTCAACTTCCAATTTTTCCCTTAATTAAGGGTACCCACTTTATAGTGGCTGAGTATGCCCCAGGAGGGTCTCCCGACCCATGGCTTATGAAACTGAATAGATAATTTATCTGCTATAAGCCGGGATTTGAACCTGGCACCTGAAGCATTAGAAGCTCAGCGCTTTTACTTTTCAAACTGCCTTAATCTATATAATTAAACATAAATTAATTACTCATTACTTAATGTTAAGACGAGCTTAATATAATTAGGTTGGCATTATTTTATCAAAAATTAAACAACAAATATTTAAATTGAGTCCAGTTGTATAGCCTGGTTAATACATTTAGAATAAAGGCATTAATAATTTCAATGAAAAAAAAAAATTGCAAAATATTTTAGCTTGTATATCTTTATAAATATAGTTTATTTGCATGCAATTGTGATCTATCTTTATGGAGCAGCTGTTAACTGAAAATTTAACATGCAAAAAGATGTAGAAATGAATTTATAGGCAAATATAAATTAACTTTTATTATTGTTGAAATATTAGTGATTTAAAATAACAAAATTTAAAAATTACTGAACAATCAAAAGAAATACTTTCCACCACACTAGTCTAAACAGACAGTTTGAAATCAATTGAAGGAATCGCATCCAATGAAATCGGAAGTGACTATTAAAAAAGTAAATACACTAAATTTTATATTTACTGAAAGTTAAATTACATAAAAATAAAAATGATCAATTCTGTTGTGAGTATTCATATTAAAGAAGTCATCACCAATAAAAGCTATGATGATATGGAACTTCAGATAGGAACCTCTCAACAGTGGATACTCCTCTGGTAGGATATTTTTGTCAAAGAGCCATATAAACACGGTACAAATTTTACACTGTTTTTAACACCTGTACTGGAAACGACTCTTCGATAGACCCTTCTCTGCATCAGAATTTCTTTACCTCCATATAAGAATTAATAGATAGAAAATAGACTTTATTCTGGGACAAGGTCCCTTAAGAATAACAATTATGAACAAAAACGAAAAACCATATCAGGCCAAAACTACATTAATAAAAATTAAACAATATCTTCAATGACAATATAAAAACAACATAAAGTAAAAACATACTTGAAATGAAAAGAAAAACAGAATGTGGTGGGATGATTGTTTATGACTAAAGGAGGAAGGAAGGAGTTGGATTTAAGGAGAGAACTGGAACATATAACAATGGCCTGAGTTTTCATCTCATATAGCCTTAAATTATTCAAACTTGTCCAGGTACTGATTCTATCAAGGTCTGCCTGAATATTGGCGAAGACAAATAATAAATAGCTCAGAAGAGTAAAAGGATAAATAGATTTGTAAGCCATCAGCATATAGATGGTGTGAACAGTGGTAGATGAAATCGGGAAGATTATTTATACAGGAATTAAAAAGGAGAGGGGAAATGCTCAAACCATGGGCAACTCCGGAGGACAGCATAAGGAAAGGAGATAAGGATTGTTTCAAATACTGACTGCTCTGGTTGGAAAGGAAAGATCGGAACCAAAGAATAGAGCTGTTGGAGAAGGTAGAGATTTTAATTTAGTGTAGAGAAATAGGTCTAAGGAGTCGAAAGCTTTGAAGAAGTCGAGAGGTATTAATACAGTTAGCTTTTTTTTCATCCACTGCAGTATGTAAGTCATTAGTTTGTTTTAGTAGAGCAGAATGTATGGAGAAGCCAGGTCGAAAAGCAGATTGGAGAGGATCGAGTAGTTTAGAGTCTTCAAAGAATTTGGGATCCTAAGATTTGGAAAGGTTAGAGAGAATGGAGATTGGATGGTAGTCTTTAGGACAAGTAGGATTGGGGATTTTGTTAACAGGTCTGACTAATGCATTTTTCAAGCAGTAGGAAAAACTGAGTTCAGGAGAGAAAACAATATAAATGAAAAGGACAGGAAAGGTTTCGGGAAGGCATAATTTTAACAGTTTGATGGGTATTCCATCAAAATCGATGGTGTTGGTATGGGATTTCATTGTAGAGGAAATAACATCAGTGGGTGAAATGTAGGAGAAATAGAAATTATCACTGTAGAATGAGGGTAATAAGGAAAACTGGTAAGAGGAGGGTGAGCTATTGCTAGTGGAGAAAGATATAAAGTATGACTTTAATTCATCAGGTGAAACTGGGAAGACTGATGAGGAAGAGGATTTGCAGAGTTTTGTGAGAGTAGTTTAATTTCACTTTTCTGATTGTAGTCTGTGTCAAGTTACAGAATACCCTATAGGCTTGATAATCATATGCTTCATGTAGCGTCTAAGGGCTGTCTCACATCTTTTTTGCATGTCATGAATTTCTTGACACATCAAAGAAGCAGATTGCTGATGAAAGGTAGAGGTTTTAAGAGGGGCATGAGTGTCAAGGACAAGAACAAGATTATATGTGAGAATATCTATATATTTAGTTTAATTAGCATATTCCTTTAATTTTTTAAAAATGTCTCGATCTTTTTGGAGTTTCCCATTACTTTTTCAGGCTTCGTTGATTTCTCAGTAAAGAACGACTATGATCTTCTATTTACAATGTCTCTTTGATGACAATCTTATGGCTTATTGAAATGCATACTGCTTAGAAATAGACTCATAGAATATATGTATGCTTATCTAATTCTATTAGATATCAATTACATGTTTAATTATTGAGATCTAATGGAACAATTATTTTAATTGTAATGAATTATCGAATGTTGTAGCAGGAAACTTGTAATAATCTATTAAGCTACAGGATGCACTATGGCTCCTTAATTACAAGGTTCAAATTATCACTCTTTCTAGATAACAGAACAGATATAAGTAGTGTACACTTTAATTCTTCCTATTACCATTAAATAAAATATATAGTAAGGATAAGTATTGCAAACATGAACAATTTTGAATCCGAGTTTTTAACAGAGATACACGTTTCAAGATCACCTTAGTCTAAATGAGTCTTGTAAAGTGGAGTGTGAACAGCCAAGCTCATAAACAAAAAGTAATATGAAACTGAAACTATATTTTTAAAGTAGGTAGGGATACTACCTGAGGTTTAACAGAATTTTTTTTAATAAAATCAATTTACAAATAACTGTACTATCTAAAGATTTTTAATCTAAGCTAGGTCTTATACCATGGAAATCTCCTGACAGGCTTTAGGTGGCAAAATTTCCTCTAAAGTAACTTTAATTTCGTTTATTTGAAATAAAAATCTCTCGTTGGTTGTAGTAATACAAAAAAACATGGATAATTATAAGCAATGAAATAGCTCGATAATTAAATAAAGGAGTTAAAGAGTTATAATTTTTTTATTTATACAGCCTAGGCCAAAATTATTAGGCATTATTAAAAACTGTTCATTGCATTTAATAAACTTATTTTATATTTATTGCTGCTTATGAAACTTGTGTTAGTAAAATTGGATCTATTTATTGAAAACCTTTATAAATTTATAAATCTCTTGTTTGTTTTGATCAACATTGAGGGTATATAATACTTGACTTTGTTTTCCTAGAACTATTTCTAGTGTTAATAAAACGTTTCCTGAACTATAGTTTATAATTACCAGCAGTTGACAAATTATTCCTCTAAAGAATGTATTTAAAAATAAAAGGAAATGGTAAATATTCAGCCTTAAAGCTTTAAACTTGAGTCTTTTGTTTTGAAGTTTTTTCCAAAATAATCTGACTATATATTTGTCAATGATTTAAGCTTTACTCAAAACAATTATTTTATATATTTATATAAATACTTCAACAAAATTAATTAATTTCAAATTAAGAAATATTTATTTAACTTTTCAATAAAGAGTCAACTAAAACTTATTCGTAGTTGAGAACAAATTTATAAAATATAAATAAAACTAAGCAATCATATAAAGGCTAGAACATTTAACTAAGGAAAATATTATTAGAGAATAAATTATTTCATATTTTAAATAAAATTTTACTATGCATGGTTTATGAGAAAAACAAGGTACCACCTAAAATATTATGTAATAAAAAAATAAACATTTACTAAGTACAGATTGGAAAATGTATAGCAAAGATTTATCATTTAATGCTTAGTATGTTTAGGAGCCCATTATTCATATCAATAGCCAAATTTCTCCATCACTCTACAAGAAGGTTAAAAAGTTGGAATATTACCCCTTTAAGCCAACATATTAGTAATAAAGTCCGTAACTTATGGAAAGCAGCACCACCATTCCAGACCAAAAATAATTCCTTGACCTTCATAGAGAGCCAGTTTTTCCTCATAATACCAATAATTCAACAGAACATAACGTAAGAAATAATTTAACACCAAACTGGATGCAGAAAAATGATTTTTTAAAATTTTGTTAGTCAAAATAACGATTAGAAACTTCAATTCTGATAGTTAAATGGCAATGTTAAAAAAAAAAAAAAAAAAAAAAAAAAAACTAAGAAAAGTTGCAGTGCTTTAGAAAGGAGTGCAACATACTCTCTCCATAAACCAAGTACCTGCTGCAAATCTTGCTGTTGCAAGTGGTCATGCAACAGCTTCTGAGCGTTTGTAGGATCTTGATGTTGATACTGATGATCCTCTAATATCCTTTGCTCATACTGCTGAAGCAGATGTAATTTAAGATCATGACTAACTTTGAGATCAAAAGCAGATTGAGATTTCTTTGTTTTTGGCAAAGGTAGATCGTTATCATCTTCTACTACAAGGAAAAATTTTCTTACATACAGAATGCAAGTTCGTCTAAGTGATGAAATGAATCCTAGAAATTAAATTTCACCTTGATTGTGGACAACAAACGATTCAATGTTAGAGGGCAGCATGGCCTCCCATCGTGCTCCACCTTTCACAGGTGAACCAGTTTTCTTTTTCTCTTTTGACTGCTATAACAGTGTAGACAATTTAAATAAAAGCAATACCTAAGTTCGAGATATCGGTTAGTTACAATTATTAAAGAGGACAGTTTGATAAATTTATACCGGTTTAATCAGCTCAGATGTCAAACCAAGATATTGATGTAGAGCTGTGAATGTCACTCGCTGAAGTCGGACCATGATAACTTGCATTATCCTGATAAATGAATCTGGATACTCGGTAAAAACCTCTTGGAATGCAGCCATTGGAAGTCTGACAACAGTCGAATCTTCGACAGCTTTAGCAGAAACAGTTTTGTACGGATGAGGATGCCCCTAAAAATCATGATCAAAAATAATCATTAAGTGTACAATAGGTAAATATTAAAAAATCAATTTTACTATAAATTATAAATTTCTAACATAGAAAATTTTCTGGTCATTCAATTTATTCCATGATTAATTGTAAGTAAAATTAGACAATGAATAACACATACAATAAAAATTTATAAATATATCACAGATGATCAGATGAACTTATTTACAATAATCTATAATTTTCAATACCAACATTGGATAATGAGAATTGAAATAATTAACTGAATATGATGATATGATGATATTAAGTGAAGCTTTTTCTGTCTAAAGAGAACATATTCCGGAAGGAAAAATAAATAATTTTAATTTAAAAACTAATGAAAGAGGAAAACCGACAACCGGGCATAGATTATCTAACATTAATTTAATACAATTTTCATGAGAAAATTTTGTAATAAAAGTGCAAATTTTAAAATTTATTTTTACACTGGAACAGAAATAAGTCACGTATAAAAAAACTAAGGTGTGTGCTTTAGACCACACCAAAAAAAGTGAAAACAGCAACAAGGTGAGATTAATAATATGAACTATAAATTATAAATAATAGCTCACTACAAAGAGGGTCAAATGCTGAAAATTTCCCTCGCTTACAGTATGCAGGTCCGATTTTTAGCTTCTGAGATAAGTTAATCCATCTCATCCTTAAAACTCTTTAATTTGGATATGCAGTTCTATTGTATCCCATTATTTTTCAATTATTTTTATTTTATCTTTCTAGTTGATATTGCTAAATAAATTTCCTACATCAAAATAGACCAAACAATATTTATCTATTGTCTATTTTATTTATTCTTTCAAGCATTTGATCCGCCTCCACTGAGTTTTTTACATAAATGTTACTTCCGACTTTAGATTATTGAGTATGGAATTGAGATATTAAGCCAACATTTTCAGTTTCCCCATTGATATTACTAATGATAGGACTAAGTGGAGCACCACTTTTATGTAACTTTACTAATTCATGTATTCTAGGTGTATTGTAGTTAGGGTTAATTAGTTTAATAAGAAATTTTTAAGGGTAATGACAAAGTTTATTACATAAAATGTAGATACCAAAGTAAGGTCAATCAAAAATGTCCTTAATGAATATCAATTAATTGAAGAATAGCTCATTACAAAGAAGATGGAACGCTTACCATTTCCCTCCCTTACAGTATATAGGGCCGATTTTTAGTTTCTGAAATATTTTAATCCATATATTCAACTAACCTTGTTATTATTTGGTTTTTGACACTATTTTTTCCTTTTCGCCTCCCTAACACGCCATCACGTTAAGATATAATTTTGAATTATAGCTTATTACAAAGAGAATGAAATGCTGAAAAAATTTCTCACATACAGAATGCGCAGGTGCAATTTTTAGTTTCTGAGATATTTTAAACCATATGTAAAAACATTTCAATTAGTCGACTATAGCCGACTTTATCCAAGCATTAAAATCTAATGGATCAATCTAATTCAGTCTGCACAAAAAGTGCAAAATGTGACTAAAGAAGTTCTCAAATCAAAAAATAAACAAAGTAGAAAATTGCTGTTCTGTCATGTGACAAATTAAGTCTGTGACATAAGTGTATTTGTAATTATGCAACATACAAATAATACTAACAGTTAAAACATCAGTGAAACTAAGCAGCGATGTGACCGAATCTCCAGTTTTAACAACCTTCAATGATATTGTTGAACCATCTGCGCTGGTAACAAATACACTCACTTTTCCATTTTGTACAACATACACATTTTCATCAGGATCGCCTACAAAATAGATTGGTACACTTCATTAATTTTTTATCTGTAATAAATAATAGTAATTAAGATTTACTTAACAGGTTTGTACTTACCAACTTTAAACAAATACGCTCCAGCAGGCAAATTAAGAATATCAGTATGCTTACAGAGCTTTAAAAAAATCGGTTTCTCAAAATGACCAAAAACCCTAAAATAAAAAAGTAATACAAAACAAATCCAAAAAAGTGTTGAAATAAAAAACTTTTAATAAATTACCTGATACTTTGTAACATATAGAAAGCATCAGGTGGAACTCTCTGGTCTTCTTTCTGTTCCTCCTGGAGGTATTCTGCAGGGGGTTCCAAGGTCTTAAAGAAAATTAATAAACAAAATTATTTCAATTATTATATAAAATTATTTCATTACTTATTTATTTGCTAGAGATAGTGGGAGCAAAATGGGTATAAGAGCATTTTCACTAAGAGCTTGAACAAGTTAAAATAGATTTCTGAGAAAAAAATTATTGGGGTAAGGTGCTTCTTTTGCAATGAATTTATTTTTAGCATCATCGAACAGAAAATTAGTAAATTATGAGTTCTCTGCAAAAATGGTTCTTTGGCATAATTGCCCTTTTTGCATCTATCATCTCCATGAATATTGATAAGAAGGTATAACTATATGACTAAGTATTGAGGAAGCTACTAACAAAAAAGAAAAACTCAAAATTCTAAAATATTGCAAAAAAAAACAACAAAAAACAAATAAACTGTTGACATATCTTTATAGCTACACTTCTTTATAGCTTAGTGTTTTTCATGGAAAATTAACTTTTTATTGAATATTAATTTTAATCCTATAAATTTTTCAAAAACTGAAAGTAGAGACATCTCAATTTATAAATAATATTTTTTTTATTATGCAACAAAATTTCAATAATTTTACTAAATAAAAATATTCAAAATAAGTATATTTACTTCTTTAACAAATGTACATTAGGTTATTTTTTTTTTTTATTTAATTTAATTTTTTTTGGGAGCAAATTATTTTTCATTTTAAAATTTCTTTTTTTGTATGATTTGGGATGCTTAATACAATCAATAAAAGAAACAAACTTCATAACTATTTTTTCAAGAATTTCTAGTAATATGAACAAGTAGATAAAAGCTAAATTTTTAAAAATACGTATTTATCTTTAAAAAATTGAAAGTTCTATATAAATACTTACATTTATGGTGAGAGGCCTCTCTGAATCCTTTTTCAGACGTAAAATTCGGTTGGCAAATTTTAAAACCAGCTTTCTTTTTTTCCCTTGTTTTACTTGGCCAGAAATCGATCTCATCTACAATATAAAATAAAAATATAATAAAGGGAAAAGTGTGCAAGTTCAATAAATAATAAAAAAACATCACAAAATTAAAAATTATTTAATTATTAACAATTAGAATAAAACAATGAAGGAATAAAAAGAAGATGATTGCTGGAATACCCAAAATTATTATAATTTCAAATCAATGGTGCTATGCACCAAAGTGCTAAGTGCAAATTTCCCAAAATATGCTAAACATTATTTAATCCATGTTGTAATTATAACATTTGAAGCTATTTCCATCTATCAGACAAAAATTTAGATCACATTGAGAGAACTGTGCAGAACATTTTTTACAATAAATTAGTAATAAATAAATAAATAATAAAAGGAAACTTGGCCTTTTTTTTTTAATTTTATATTCTGATCCAATGAGAATAAATCAAGAATTGCTGACTATCAAGAAGGTTGTCGAAAAAGTATAATCTTATCGCACCTAATCTATCTTCTCCTTAATTTATCTAAGATCGTTTTCACCTCCATTACTGGTTTTCCTATTAGCTTTGGTCTTTGCTATTAAATAAACAATCTATGAAATACCTCGCTAAAATATTTCCAAAATAACTAAAATTTATCTTAACAATAATATAAATTGAAGAAATAAATTGAGATTAGATATATTCAAAAGAAAATTTTGTCAATTACCTTTCTTAACATTTTTCGACCATAAAATAGCACTTTGTCTCTTTTTCTGAACCTTGGCCGAGACTGCCCCACTCCAACCAATTTTTTTACTTCTGGTAAAACTGAAATAAAAATATTTAAATTAACTTATTATGAGTAATCAACAATTTTTTTTTTAAACAATAAATATTTAGTAATAAAATTGTTTTGTTTTTTTCTAGTTGAGGGAGTTTTGAGACCACCTACCAAATACCATTTAATACAGTTGTTACCTTATTTTTCCATTGATTAATCTTACAAAAATAATTCACAATTCGAAATAACAATACAGGTAATATCCTAATAACACGCTGATATAGTCTTCTTTATAAAAAAAAAAAGTGTAGCCCTGAGTTTTGGCCATTCTTGAGCAAACATAAGTTGATAGCTGAAGTTATATCCAACTGGTGTATTTGTCAATTGAAGACTGAATTTAACAAATAAAACCTACCACTAGAAATATCATATAATAAAACAAAAAGGATTTACATAATCGTTTTCAAAATGCTATTGGAATTACACTTGGCTATTGTTAAAAATAGCTACTGAATCCAGAAAATATTGGTTATACTAGAAATACAACAAAGAGAAAACTAAAAGAATGTCAATATAAAGTAGAAGCAGAAACAGCGCAATCAAATAAAATATTACATATAACAACTGAAGCAATCATTAACTCAATCATCCATGCCCCACATCATTTCAGAAACTACAACACCTACTTAAAAAATTTTGCTTGCTTAAGATAGACAGTTTATTGAGGAAGATTTTAGGACCTATACAGTACGCTATGACCCATAGGAACAGAGCAGGATGTTAATCAATGAGGAATCGATCAATATACAATTAGCCATTGATGACCTGATGTTTTCTATAACTTAAGGAAAAACAAACAATATATCTGGAACAGAGAGGAAGATTGGAGAAGTAGGGAACAGTCTTTAGTAATTATCCAAGGTATACTTACACCGCAGAGAGAAATAAGTACTATTTCAGCTTCAAATATTAGTTTTCTTTAAATAGTTTCTTTTTCAGAATTAGGACATTGAAATGAAGATTTTTTTTTTTTTAATTTGAAATGTTAATCGTTTACAGATGGACAAATAGTCTTAATTTATTTGAATTAGATGTGCGTAGTCCAAATTTAACAGAGAATAAGCCTCAGGGCACAGTTGGTTATAAATAAAACATTATCTTATTATTTTTTTATAATTTGCTGAGTCAATATTTAAAATAATAAAATCAAAAATTCCTCCTGAGGTTGCACCAAGGCTTTTTTTTCCCAATTCCGATGGTCTTGTTCATAGGATAGTTTTAGCAGAATTTATGTAGCTACAGCCACATTTGGTGGTGGAAGACGCTACCAGCTTCAGCAATTTTTTTTTTTTTTAAGCTTTATTTTCTTAAGATGTTGAACATTGTTCTTCAGTAAAAAGGAAGACAAGCATCTGGCTCATTTTCCAAGTTGCTGGTGAACCTTCTGTCCTTGGAATACTTGAATTGTTTTCAACTATAATCTTAAATATGACCTATTACCAGGCACTATCTGCAAGAGCTAAGCCAATGTTCATCAGAGAGATATTACTCCTCAATTCTGGATCAGGATATAACAATGATTGCATAATAAAATATAAGTCAAATGGGTAGATTTATTACAACAAAATAACAGTTAAATACAATTTTATAATCATGAAAAAAAAAAATGATTACTTTACTTTTAATACCAAAATTATCAATTAAAAGAACAATACAATTTAATCATATCATAAAAATCTTAACAAATAAAATATCAAGCAAACAATAATATATTTAATAAAGAAAAAATTAATTTTTACAAACACTCACCCTTGGTTTTCCATTTCTTAATTAGAAATATAAAGATGATTCCAATAAGAGATGATGAAAACAATAAGACCAAAAATATTGTCTGAAAAAAAATAATTTTCCATAATAAAAAAAAAATTAAAAGTTATATAATCTGTATTAGGAATGCTGATAACTAATACAACTAATAACACACAATAATCAGCAACAAGCAAGGAAATAATAAAGATATGTAAATATTCCTCAAAATCCACAATTGATCATATACACCAAAAATAAACCTTAGTAAATATATATTGGGATGAGAATTCTTTTAAAGATATTTCAATATATTGCTAAGAGAAACCTATCTATGATCTTCTAAGGATAATTAATTTATTTATTCCTCAGAATTATTATTAATTTTATAATTGTGGGTTGGCGGTTGACTGTAGTGAATAATGAAGAGGCCATTTTTGCCATTTTTATTTTCACTGATCACCCCAACTATCCTTCTCTTCATCATTATTATTTTTTTTTTCTTTTGTTGTAGTAATTTGAACTATATCTATAATTTAATAAAAATAGTTGATGAATAATGAATACTAAAGGATACCTAAGCATAAATAAAATCTGTACTCCATTGATAAAGCAGCCAAGTGAATTCATGTCTTAACTCATTGTAGGGGAGCATTTGGTAATGGTGCATTGTGGCTGGAGTGGAATTTAATTGAATTTACCAATGTTATTTTTATATTTGATTATTTTACAAATAATCAATCTAATCTATTATTTTGTTTATGTTTGTATAAAATATAATGTATGAGCATATAAAAAAGGTATAACATGGCCTACACTCCACTCACAGTTTTTATATGCCCCACAGAAAAACACATTTTTATATGCCCCCACAATGTGTACTCAGTGCACTTAATACGACTTAAAACTATAATAATAACAAAAATTGGATACATATTTAATTATATCTACATAACCAATATCACAAGCATCAGTTTTTTCCTGTTGCCACTCAAGGGGTAAAGGGAGTTTGAATTCTTGTCCACAGAAGTGAGATAAATATTGTTTTTCTTAATAGAAGAACAAAGTAAGCAACACCAGTGAAAAATGACATTACAGTTTGCGTTATTGAGGATGGACTACAGATGATTAACTTTAATTAAAATAAAATCAACCAACCACTATTATAATATTGAAATACTAAAAAAAACTCACTAATTAAATATTGATAATAAATAATTCAACAAGTTTGCTCAAACAGCCATGAACCATGTATTCTGGAAGATTACATACATTTTATTCATTGTTGAAAAATAAAAGCAAACATATTAGACTGTGCAAATAATTCTCATAGTAAAATAATCAGTGACCAAATGATAATAAATATAGAAATAAGTAAATGCACTATATTGAGAGAGGAAGATATATTTTTTTTCTACTTAAAATATTTAAAAAAATAATAATAATAATAAATATATATATATATTGTTAAATGGTACAAGTTATAAAAATAAAATACATGTTGATTTTTGTATACTATACTTACATTTTGATTTTATACCTTGTACCAATTAATAACTTATTCTTTAATCCTTGAAAAAAACCTACAACGTAGCCTAACAAAATAAACACTACTATAACATAAAACATGAGTCTGTTGACAGCACGCCCTAACAACTTCTCCTTGAAATAGAACTACAGTAAATTATTTCCATACCACTTAAAATTCACTAATAAGAAAGAATATATAAAACCTCTTCCTCAGAGGAACCTAATCGACATGTGATATGTATCCCATACATATTAATAATCGAGGCAATCTCATGCGACTGCCACCCCTTTATCCTGCATCATCTCAAAATCAGTAGATTTCCGTACTTTAAACTATAGGGTTTAGTGAAATGTTTAGTTTAACTTTATTTAGTTTAGACAAAAATAAAAATAAAAAACAGAGTAATTTCGGAAACGTGCTGTGAAATTCTGAATCCAACAATAACCCAATCATGGTATTTGGATAAGACCGACCTTATGTTTGGTTCAAAACAGATTTCAAGATTTTGTGAAATAATATAAGTGGGATACCATGCAAACGGGCTCATAGAAAGTTAGTTTTAAACAATTATCTCACCTGCCAATTGTCTTTGTACTCCCACCCTGTCACTGAGGACCATTCAATAATTTTATCCTTTACATAGCTATTAATCCAAGAGAAATAGTTAGCAATATCCATAACGCATGTGTTGTGTACATATGATAATCAACATCCATTAGACTACAACAAAAATATAATTCCTAGTATATAGTAGACAATAATCAATAAAATTAATATTGTATAAATGAAATAGTTTACATAATTGTCAACTAGTATAGCTTAAAAATTACCCCTAGTATAAACATATTTCAAATATTTATACGAAAATAGATTTAGAAAATTTCAACTCAAAATTATTAGGTATAAATAATAATTTAGCTTATATATTTTGTTATCCTACATATCAATGAATTATCACTAAACCTGAAAACAATATAACCATTGCTTGCTGATAAGATGAGTCTTGATGAAATTATGATAAGGAAATAAATATATTTTTCAATTTTAAACATTACCATTTTTAAAATGTTAAACAATTTTTTTTTTAATTTTCTTTCACTGATGAATAAGTGGATTTTTCAGGTATGCGTTGTATACTGAAAAATGGCTTTGTAACATTAATGGAACTTTCAGTCAAAACATTCGTTTCATAATAAATTGATCTAAATTTCTTATGTAAACAATAATGCATTGTTTTTTGTAATTATCAGGTCATCACCAAATGAAAATTATGATCACCTTGACTTTCATTTAAATTTAATTGTTTTATTGCTTTCGGTATTAGGCTTTTATTTAGTTTGAAGTTTATTTCATGCCAATTAAAGGAATAAAATATTCAAAAGACAGAATGACTTTTAACCAAGAATAATCATAATTATTAATTAGGTGCTCAATGACAACAGTTAATCAACAGTTTTTCTAGCAGGTTGGCGCCAAAGCATTGTTGCTCAGCGAAGTGGTTGAGGGTTCAAAACGGTTAGCTGTTTGTTTATGATCGGTGTGTTATATTTTCTGTTCCCGTCATGAGAAATTCTTTCAAACGCTATGTAGTTATTTGATTGTCCGTGTCATTTTTGCTCGGTGGCTCTTACTGCTGGAACGTTGTAGAAGTGTGTTTTTACAATTCTTCTGTGAATAATTGTATGTATTCCGTAAGTACTTTTGAGTTTACAATTGTATTGAAGGACATGAGATTGTTAGTAATGTAATTTTATTTTCTAAAGGCTGGAACATGGTATTTAAAACTCTTACCAGTTTTCCTAAGGGCCAGAAATGTCAGCTCTGCTTAACAGCAAAAGTTGACCCAGAAGCTTTAGGAAATATATGCCAAACTGCTGATGTGATAGTTCATTATTTTTGTTTGGTAAGTACCCATTTTATAGTTTTTTGGAATGGTCATTGTGTATGTTTTATTTTAAGAGATTCTTTGTTTAATGAGCTCTCCTTTTATCTCATGATCAATCTGTTATCAAACAAGAATTTGGACTAATATGTAATCTTACTTAATTCATTAGATCACTCTTGTTTGATCAGTTTTGGTGAATATTATTTTACTATATTTAAATATATCTGCATTGTAAATAATTTATTTTCTTAATATGGGAACTCGAAAGAATACCACCATGATCTCTTATGTTATGGAGGAACAGTTCAATACTATTTTTTTTTCATGATGTTATCTAGGAATAGTTCAATACTATTTTTTTTCATGATGTTATCTAGGAACAGTTCAATACTATTTTTTTTTCATGCTCTAGTCTTATTGGCATTAGTAATTATAATACTACCCTAAATTTGTCATGTCTGGTTGGTAGGTGCACTAAGATCATTTATATCAAACTCTTGGTAGATTGCCAAAGTTTTCCAAATCTTCCTATGATACTACGTAACAACTGTTGCTTCACCATGGTAGGCAATCACATTAATTATCTCATAATCATACTGTTGATAGAATTCTAAATATATCTGAGAGTGTCCAAAAGTAGATGGAGATCAACTAACTCTTTAGAAAGGTGGTTGAAAAGATCCATTTGGAGATTGTTTAACTGTTAAGTGAACAGAAGTCAAGTCGAAAGTTGTGATGTAATCAAAGCTAATTCAATTCAGGCCCTGGTTTTAACTGTATAGTTGAAGGTTTGCAAAAGTGATAAATCCCGATTCAAATAAAGGTGGTTATAATAGTATGGTGAACAGGTCGATACTTGATCATTCTCGGAATTCCATTTATAATGTGATCGTACTATCTTGGATCTACCTATCACAGTGTAGTAACTTTTGTGAAGTAGTATCCTTCCTATTAATGATAATAATCACATAAACCTCTCAATTGTTATGTTTCTGATCTATGAAAATCCCAACTTTCTTTACATATAATGTTGATTAACTATATTTATGAACCTAGAAATTAAGTTAGAATAATATTTATTAAATTGAGAAAACAAGTGAAAAGTTAAAACAGTACCTAAAAATTTACTTATAAAAAATCAAGATCACAGAAAAATAATAAAATTTGTGTATTTAAATTGACTTCTGTCAAATAGAGTTTACAAATATGTCTGATACATTAATGTTATTGTTTCCTAAATCGAAACGTATTATCTAATCTCTGTCCATTTGTTCTTATAATCCCTTTTCATTTCTCAAAACATATTATCCGGCAATATTTTGTCTTTGCTGCTGACATATTTATAACATATGCGTTTTAAATTTACCTTGATGTATATACCAATTTTTTTTAATATATATTTGGTTATTTCAATAATTTAATATTTATATTAACTTATTAAAGGCCAATGTATTTCGGCTAATTAATATAATTGTTTGTGTAACATAACCTAACTTGTCAAAAGACATGGGAGCTATGCTTCCTTCAGCATTTCAGGAAATGTTATCTTGGTCAAACTATCACCCATATGTGACAGTACTATAACATTACTGTTTTTTTAATTTTATTTTGTTTCCTCTCTAAAGACAATATCTGAATCCTCCCCTAGCCTTGTTTTCTCTAAATGAAATTTATTTTTCTCTGCAGTTTATAATTCTTATTCTCTTATCTCCTATAAGTCTTATTGTTATTTCATTTTTATGTTTAGCTTTTGGCTTCAAAAATCCAACAAAAGGGGACTGATAAGCAAGGACTCTTGGGTTTTTTTTCTAGAGATATTAAAAAAGAGATCAAGAGAGGTTCTACGATTGTAAGTAACTTAAATTACTATTATAGATTTGATTAGGCCAATGTTGTAGGAAAATTTGCACATTATAATTAATTAATTGAAAATATTTACATTTTTGTAGGTCTGCAATTATTGTAAAAAAAATGGAGCTACTGTCATGTGTAGCAGAGAAAACTGCCATTTGAATTTCCATGTTCCTTGTGCTCAACAGAAGGGATCTCTTCATCAATTTTTTAATCAGTTTAAGTATGTTAGCTTTTATAAGTTCTTATTGGTGAATATTTTTTCAATAATTTGTCAACTTTGTTCTCATATTTAATTTTTTAAAGATAGTTTATTAGTTATTCAAGTTCAACTAAATAAATAAATAATCTATTTACCTCTAAATGAATGTTCCTATTTATCTGATAAATTATTGGAATTTACTTTTTTATTTGTAAAAAATAAAAATATCAACCTATCAAATTTAGTGATAGTATATCATCTATGTGTGAGATTACATAAATTAATCCATTACTAGATGGGTCTACTAGCTGAAGGTTTTAGAAATGTATTTTAAATCTAGCTGTCTCGTAAGAATAAAAAATTTTACATTAGGATTTGGTTTGAAGTTTACTATGCTTATGTGCAGTTGAAAATTATCTATCTTGGTGGTAGTAGATTTTCTTTTTATTATTAATTAATGAACTAGCTTCATTAATTTAAACTAGTGTAACCTTGATTGATCGGACAACAGAGAATGCTCAGATAATTTAAAATAAAAATTATGTGATGTATGTTTTATTTCTGTATTTTTTTTTATATTGGGTCATATTATACTGAGGTGATCTGGGAGCACCTGGGTATTCCAAAACTGAATCTAATGAAATAATTCATCAGTCTCATCTTGTACCTATTAAACAGTCTACCATTACCGAAGTAAGGGGAAAATAAATGATGAGAAAAAAAGCTGGTGGGTTTTAAGAAGCATGGAATCATGGAAACTTAGGATTGCAATGGATTTTCAGGTGATAAGGATGATATTATTATTCTAAGATAGGTGTTGATAAAAAATTATTCCAAGGTTTTTAACTAAGGTATGGAAGGTGATAAGGTACAAGATGGGAAGGTGCTTGGAACCATTGAGGATGTTCTTCGGTTTTTTCAACAATCATTCTAAAAAAATTGTTTACTTCTTACGGACTAATATTATCTTTATCCCCTTGTAGTTTTCAGATCACTTCACGCATCTCAGTAGGATGGAGGTCATCAATATATAAGTTAATTGTGAGTGGTGTTATATAGACTGAGAGAAAGATTGGTGATATTAAGGATAGTAAATGTGCAAAAAACGTTTTGCTTAGTAACTTGATAAACCAAAGATTATGAGTTCAAATCCTGGTGCCAGGGGTCTTTTAACTCTGTCATTAATTCCCCACTCTTCCTCCTGTTCTAGGATAAAACTCTGTATAAAATGTGAAATGTGAAAAAGGGAGAAAAGAAAAAAAAAATGAGGAAATCATCATTTTTTGATCAAAGGGAGTTTGTGGAATAAAATATGAGCGAGAATGCTGCATAGGCAGGATCAGCAAAATGAGAATTGCATTTATTTGAAGATGGTATATTAAGTACAGGATTTCGAATTTACTACAATTCCTTAAGGATTTTCCAACTGTACTTGGGCTCAGGAGATTCTGATCAGGAATTATTTGATTAAATTTCTTCGGAATTTAAAAGAGGAGTTATCCGAGTTTTTAGTTCATCTGAAAACCCTCTTCTACTTATCAACTCAGATTTTTTATTAATTCATGGAGAAAGAAGGCATCTGATGTGGAAGTCTTGAGTGAGCATATGATGATTTAGAAAAATAGAGAGATTAGAGGAAACACATTTCATTAATGGAAGAATAGGAATAGATTGGTACCGAGGATTGGGAAAGTGAATAAAGGATTTACCTTTTTAGTGGTTTGTGAGTCGAGGTCATATCTATTTTAAAGAGGTCATGTCATGTTCTTGAGAACTGGGTATGGTAGGTAGATAGATTGCAAGGGAACAATAAGGTCTAGAGAATGGATAAGATCTACGAAATATGGATTGTCAGGAGAATCATAAGATAGGTCAGTGATAAAGTCACTGACTGTTATTTTATTTTATAAAAGAGCGTAGGTAAAAGGGGAAGATTCGAAATGAATAAACTATCATAAATGCAAGTACCAACTCCTCTACCCGTTCCATCTGTCTAATCATGATGAACAAGGGTATAATTAGGAATGATTTAGTGGAAGGGAGAATTTGTGGTTTGAGTTAACATATATTTTGTTAATTTATTATGAATATGCCTGTTCCATGTTAATACTCTACTTTCTAGTAGAGGACCTGTTGGTTGAAATAGTCTTTATTAGTAATATTTATTGAGATTTTTAATTCGATATTACAGATCCTGAAATAATTTGCAGAGTATGTTAAATTAGTCAGATTTTTTTTTTTTTTGTTTATCATTATTTCTAAAGTTCTTATTAAATATTGGAGTTTGTTATTACCTAACCTTTATACAAGTACTATGGTTCTTTTTTTGTTATGATAACTACTAACAATCCAACATGTATTATATTTAATCCTCTAACTTTTATTTCAGATCCTTTTGTGAGAAACATAAGCCCAACCAGAAAATCCCAGCCTCTCTTAAGAAAAGAAGAGATTTGGAGTGTGTTCTTTGTTGTTCTCACATAAAATTTAATGTTAGATCTCATGAAGATGACCCGATTTGGCCTACTTGTTGCAAGCCACAAGCACTTCTCCATAAAAGATGTTTACAAGTAATAATTATAACTATAACTTGTAATTTCTGTTTATTTATTTTATGTTTACCTATGATATCCTACTGAAATAGGTAGCTAACGAGCTCAGAGTTTATTTATTTTATTTATTATTTCTAATTAATGACAATTCTGTTTTAAAGTTTAAATAATTAAAAAACAAAACAAAAGAAAAAATAAATCAGCTGTTTTTAATTGTGATAATGTACTGTGTAGTTATAGTTTATAGGCTTGATTGTTGTATAGTGCATTATAGTGAGTGTATTATACCTATATACAAGTTTTAAGCCTGTAGAATTTGTGAACTTAAAGAGTTTGCCTCTGTCCTTTATTGGAAGCTAAGATTTTCCAACTGCTGTACAGCCCACTTACAGTTTTACATAAATTCTGCTTAGTCCTTTACTGTTCTTCTGTCCATTTGCAGTTTTTCATACTCATATGATTATTCATGAATTATCTATATGCAAGCTTTTCAACATTCTTTTTTACTTTTTATTTATATAGCTTCTTTTTTAAATATGTATATTTTTGTTTCCTTTGGCTTTAAGCACTGCGATCCTTATGGATCTATTGTGCCCTTCTTTTAATATTAGTAATATATTTTGTTTATTAGTTTAGATTGATTCTTTTTGGACAGTTTTGTAGAGATACAACTATCATTTCATTTAATTCAATATTTTATTATTCATTTTATTTAGAGGACTTATCTTTATTTTTGTTTATAGTATAGTTGTTATTATTTCATTTTCATTATCAGTCGAATGTAAAATTAAATTGATTTAATTTTTTTTTTCTGTTAGTTAAGCTTCATTCTAAGTTATCACGTAAAATCTAGAGGGAGATTAAGAATTGATATTATCTTTTTTTTTTATTCTTTGTAAGCTTCTCGATTGTTTGTAGTTCTTTTATCTTGAGTTCTGAACTTTATGATATGTATGAGAAGGTGTTGTTAGGGAGTGCTGTCAAATAAATAATAAATTTTTAAAATAGTATTTTAATTGTTATGCCGACTTTCTGACCCACTTTGTAGGTCTTCATCAGGGCGTGGTATCAGGCACTGCAGGAAGTAGTTGATAAACTGGCCAATAGACTGATTGATAGATGGCCGATATATCAACTGCTTCCTACAGTGCCCGATACTACGCCCTGATGAAGACCTAAAAAGTGGGTCGAAACGTCGTTGTAACGATTAAAATACTATTTTAAAAATTTAGTATTTATTTTACCCCGACCAACTCCTCATATTATATTACAGTCAACCGTCTCTACATCGTTTTTAACATGTAGATCATTTACTAAATAGTACACACAATCTCCAAAATCACTTTATTTCATAGGATGAGTAGATATTTTTAGTTACCATAGTTTACCAAGTCCTAAGTCACTGTATCAACAATCTTTACAGTTCTTTTCTGGTACTTATTACTTATACAAAAAAGTTGCATGAAACTGATATTACATATTTAAGGTATGTATATGGGTCGGATGTTACAGCAACTTTTTCCTTGAAATAGGCTAACCGGAAGTACCACCTCATATTGATTTTACATTACAATATGTAAACCAAACACTGTATCTGACTAAGCTCTCCCTAGAGGAGACAACATTATAATTTCAAGGAATGAAATATGACAATAAAAAATTAAAATAAATAATATGACAAATCTTATAAAAAATAAGAGGATATAGGATGAAGATACTGCCTGAAGATGGGATATGAAAGTGGATCCCGAAACGTCGTAATATAATAAAGAAAAAATTGTTTTGGGAGAATAAATACTGTTAACAAAAATTTTTACTTATATACCTGAGAAAATAAGTATTTTCCGTACGACTATTGGAGAAAACAAAAACACTACAATTTTCTCAAAAATGGCTCTAACGATCTTGATTAAGCTCGTTATTTACTGATGTACAATTAAGTGGGTTTTTTTAATATAAGATTGGTATTATCCTCACTTATGTTCTGCATCAGTAAAAGTTGATTTTTCAAAAATGCCTTCCTCTAAAATACCTTTAATTTAGTTTATTTTAAGAAATTAACTATTTCACACTGTAGATAATGAATAAAAATGATTAATTATAAACAGTGAATAAAATTGATGATGAGCTAAAGGAGAAATAAGTAATGGTATCGTAGGATCAAGAATTGAAACTCGCTCTCGCTCGAAGTGAGGGAATGATAATGAGGAGCCAAGAACTGCCACAGAAACCCGAGCGTGCCCTCAAGCTTGGTGTACAGTTTTCATAAATGTTAGTGCTGGTATTATTTAATATTTAATTGTATAGAATGCAGCAATATAACTACTAAAATTTGTATATATAACAGTGTTTAGACAAAAAATATACTTACTATTCCACTATGCTCCTTAATAGGGTGGTAAGTGAAAGTTGTGTGATGCACACACCATGCCATATTTTTTTATTTTGATGAAATTAAGACATTTTGTTACTTGGGAAGTATGAAAGGTTGTTTTCTTTATTTTTCCTATATTCAATCATTCTTTATAGAACCACAGGTAGTTCTTTTTGTAGCTTACTCAGGAATCACTGACCTTGATGTCTAGCTTTATCTTTAGATAATAGTTTGGTTTTTACTTCATTATAACTATTCTCTATAGAAAAAGATATGTTTATTAATGCAATTTTGAATTAATGCTTTTGAAATATGTTCAGTGATATTCTATTGTTATGAAAAAATTTACATTCTTTAGAGCATATTAATCTTGGTAATGAGAGTTAGTTGTTTATTTTATACTATAGAAGTGTAAATAGGAGACCAGACCCTCTATCTTCAAAATATCTATTCCAGGATAACATTTTCAATTACTTAATTTGTAATATCATCATGTGATCTAATTAACAATACCATGTTGTTTTCTGCCTAATAATTAAGTTTTATGTGTTTTTATTGTATAGCATTTTGCTACAAGTTCGGGATATTACTTCAAATGTCCATTCTGTAGCAACAAAGAAGAATTCCATAAAGGGATGAAGACTTTTGGAATATTTATTCCAGAACAGTAAGTTGAGTTATTTTTTATTTAAAAGTAATTTCTTTTTTTTTTAAATTTAAGAACTTTATTTCATATGTTGTTTTATGAAGTCATAAATTCCTGCAGTATCAAATGTTATTTATAATATCAACTTTATTAAAATGATTAAAACTTGTTTATAATTTGCTGATGTTATAGAATTTTAATTAATAAATCACTATAACTAAATGTATACACACTCTCTCTCTCTCTATATATATATATATATACATACATATACAGACACATATACATATACACACATGGTGTCCCATAAGTAGAGGGAAATATATGGGTGAAAAGAAAAATCAATCGGTTAACACACCTTATCTTTGGACTATATAATTTTAGTAACATCAAGGAATATTATTAGTGATACTAATTGATCCTTAATGTATCCTAATGCATTCTGGGATTCTATATCTTGATTTTAATGAGTGAGATGAAACTAGTCCTACTCATAGATTATGTATATTTCATATGTGTGTATTTATTTCTAATTGGAATATTGTTTCTTGCATTTTCAGAGAAGCTTCATGGGAAACAGAACCAAACGCATTTAGAGAACTTTTAGAAAGAGATGTTAGCTGTGATTCAGTTAGGTGTAGATGCCCTCGTGGTCGAGTTTATTCTGTTCGAAACAGGTATAACATTGCTTTTTTTTTTTCTTGTAACGAATGAATTTCATATTTAAATATCATTCTTCCAATAACTAGTAACAGTATGGCCACCAATCTGGAAAAATTCAAGAAATTTGCTAAGTAGAGAAAAGTCAGACAGATGTAAGGGATAAATTGTTAGTCAGGGATTTTCTTAGTATGTAAATTTTCGTTTTTAAATTGGAAATAAATGTACAGGGGATATCGTTTATAAACACCTTAAAGGGGCAAACTTCGTCATTATATTTATCCACCTTTGGCTGTCAATTACAGTACCAAACAAGGGTAATGAATAAAATTTAAGCAAAGTAGAATTTAAACAGTTCTTTATTGAAAAGAAAACTCAAAAACTAAAAGTCATACAAAAGTTAAATTGCATATTTAAGGTTTTATATGCTTGGGATGTTACTGCAACTTTTTCATCAAAATCGGCTGACCAGAAGTGTCATTTTATATCATGGACGTAAAACATTTTTACTATTTTCTCAAAAACGGCTCTTATCGTTTTTGATTAAATTCATTATATCAGTATAAAATCAAGCAGTTTTAAATAAAATATAGGTTTTATTCTGATTGATGTTCTCTAACAAGGCTTAAATGGCTAATTTTCAATACTAGCTTCTCCTAAAGCATCTTTAATTTTTTTTATTTGAAACAATTAACCATTTCACATTATTTCTAATATAAATGATAGTTAAATATAACATATGAAAGAATTTAATTAATCACTAAAGAAGAAATAAGAGATTATTACGGAGAATAGTTGTAATTGAGGAACCAAAGGAATACAAGCACGCCTGAGCTCACTAGAAAGATTAGAACAGGCTTCCATATGTAACATGAGCTTTATATAATACGGTCTCTGACAATATTATGTAAATATACATATGCGGTTTTCATACATACTATTGTTGGTATTATTTAATTGTATAGATTACAGTGATATAAATATTAAAATTTGTATGTATAAGAGTACATAGACAAATAAAAATACCCACAATGAAATATAGCATCTGTAATTTTTACTTTCACTTTTCCATGGTCTGAAAATACTTAATTCTGCTAAGAGGGTGGTAAGTGAAAGTTGTGTAATGCACTCACCGCACCAGATTTTTTCTGTTATTGAAGTAAACAGTTCCTTTATCATGAGAAACATGGCCTTCAATGTTGGTTGCTCTCACGGTGTTAGTTGATATACTATTGGACAAAATATTTTATGTTCCATGCCATGAAGGAAAAAATTACCTGTATTATTCAAAGGCCTTTGATTTATATGTGTTCAATGGAAAAGTAGCGATTGATTTTTTGCTGTAATTTTTAATGAATTAAAAGATTAATTTCTTTAGTTGTACATTAATTTACTTATTTACCTTAATTCTATTCTAATTGAATTATTTTTTCAGCAAATGGTATTTGGAAGTGTGTATACTCTGTGGAGCAAGTGGACGACATAGGGGTTGCATGTCAGAGAGTATTATGACTGAGACATATGAATGTGATGTTTGTGCCGAAGTCAATAAAAGTAAGTAATTCATATTTTTTCAAAACTATTAATTAACGGTTTATTAATTATGGAAGTGGGTTAAAGTTAAGAATTGATTTATAATCATGATAGTTGTCATGGTATTATAATCTCACTCATAAACCTGCATATATATATATAGGGGAGAAGGGTTAGCCTTTTTAGTCTTTAAGAAAAAACCTGTACCACTACAGCCCTTTCGGTTGTGCAAGGAGGTGATCTAACCGAGATCATGTTCATCTGTCAGGTTTTCCTCCTTAATTAATTTTAGAGTACTCACTTTATAGGAGCTGGGTGTGCCCCAGCAGGGATAAAAGAAAAACTTTTTGAATTTATTAAATATGAATTTTCTTTTTTGATTAAATATGAACTATTATATATACTCTAATTAAATATAATATAATAAACTCCTGAACAAGGATGTGAGAAGCTTAGAAAAAATATGTAAATACATATATAGTCCTCAGTGATTAGTCCTCACCTGTGGATAAACATATTCAGTAACATAATTTCTTTTGTTTTCATCATCTTTAGTACTTATGTTAAAACATTATTTGGAGCCGTTGTTAACTGTATTTGATCTAAAATTATGTTGCTAATCAGTAAAAGTATAAATAAATAAATATAATAGGTAGAAATAATGCTTAGTTTTTGTTACCAGATATGCATGCATGCAGATATTACACAAAATGATGATTATTGTTATTAATGATTTTTTGTTTACATTATGGTCGTTAAATTTCTTTCTAAAATGATTAAATAAGTCTTGGATTTTATCTAGTTCCTACTTGTTAACTTTTTCTTAATTTTTTTAAGTAATTATTATAATTTTATTTTTTAGAGTTTCCCAATTCACTACCCTCTGAAGATATACCTGAATCTTCTCCATTGAGGTAAGTTTAATCATTTTTATGAAACTATGTCAATTATATCAATAACATTTTTTATTTTTAAGTATAATATTATGGTATCATCTAATAAGAAAACTTACTTTCTTACTCAAGACTTTATTAAGCGAAAACGTTTCACTAAATCTCGTAAAAAGGTTATGAATTGTTATAATAATGTTTATATGAGGCGTTGCAGATACGAAAGGCAAACTCGACACGTAATCAAACAATTTTTTTTTGCATAGGTATTACAAGTAAGTATAATTTCATTGTCGAGTTCGCCCTTCTTTCCCCTGTAAAATGAGATTTTAACGTTAGAGACCAACTAAAATATACAATAGGATTATGGATACGAACGGCGAACTCATTGTCTCATCTCTCTCCGCCACGTGCCACCGGTTTAGTATGATGCAATATTTGAAATGATCAGTATAGATTATTTTTCTTAAAATTATTTACTGATAATTAAATTATTTCATCATTATGGAAAGTGCGCCGGCAGGGTATTCTAAGAAAAGTGATGAAAAATGGAAAAATTAGAAGTGAAGAGAAATCGGAACTCGGGCATAGAATACGTCTCTTGGCATACAAAAGAGGCCCATGGGATTGGTAAACCTTGTCAGTGTGATTGTTTTGATAAGGTTGGTCATGATTATGTTCAAACTATTTTTAATTCATTCTGGGCACTAGGGAATTATGATTTGCAAAATGCGTATTTGTCTAAGCTGACGGTAAGTAAGGAAACTAAACTTACATCAATAGTAGGAAGACCGAGGCGTACTTTACAACGTAGAAACTATGCTGTACTTGTTAATAACAAGAAATATGATGTGTGTCGCTAAGCATTTTACAGTATACACGGGATAACAGAAAAACGAATGTTATGTTTTATGAACTTTCTTCGACATTAACAGTTACAACAGATCAAAAAGGTGAAAAGGAAAACCAGGTCATAAAATAAAAGATAGCCAGAAGTTCTAAGTGAAGCAACACATAATATCATTACCAATTGTGTTTAGTCATTACAGTCGGGCTAAAAGTCCTCATCGGAAATACCTACCAGTACTCTTTATAAACAATGGTTTCATGAGAACCATCCTGGGAACGACCACCACTTTGCATTATTATCGAGATATTTTCAATAGCGAGTTTAATATTGGTTTTGAGTCCCTTGAAAGCTTTGTGTGACAAATTGGACATTTCCTTAAAAAATCTTAAGAGCAGTAGCAGCCAAGGTTCTACTGCAAAAATAAAAAAAACTTGAACTTAAAAAACATATTCATCTGGCAAGGGCAAAAGCTCCACAGTCTCTAATAAAAACTGAAGTACAAAAATCACTGAAGTACAACTGCAATGATTCAGTACTAGTTATCGCATTCGACCTACATCAAACGTTGGCCACTCCCAAATTGACCAGTGAGATCCAGTTTTGCATCCACAACATAAAAACTGAGATTTCCAAGATATACGTGTGGGATGAATCCACAGCAAAGCGTGGCTTGTGTGAAATTACAAGCTACATTATTCACTACTTGACAGCTGTTGAATCTTAATCTCTTCTTCAATTTCGTTTTTTCTAGTTATCGTAGAGCCTAGATACCTAAATTTATCTACCTGTTCAAACATATTACCATCTATATCGATATCACCAGTAGTATCGCCATTTTTGCAGCTAACCATATATTTTGTTTTATCCACGTTTATTTCGAGTCCTAGTTCTTTACCGGCTTTCATTAACGTTGTCGTATTTAGTTTTATAGTTTCAACATCTTCGCTTAACAGTACCAGATCATCAGCATAGCCCAGGACGGATGTAGTCCCACCCAGATCCAACCCTTTCTCGGTGCGCATTACCTCCCTAATGGCATGTTCTAATGCCAAATTGAACAGGACAGGCGAAAGGAAATCCCCCTGTTTTAAACCCGAACGGACCTCAAATTTTTCCAACAAATTATTACCGATTTTAACTTTATTGAGTGTCTCCGTCAAGCACATCCTGGCTAGATTTACTAGTTTTTTTGGAATCCTCTGCTTGATTGGAATATTATACAGTTTCTGGCGGTCAATAGAATCGTAAGCCTTTTAAAATCTATATACAGCTGGTAAACAATACCGTTGTACTCCAATTTTTTCTCTAATATTTGCTGTAAAGAAAATATTTGATCAATAGTCGAACGTGAAATTTTCTAACTAAATGTTTTTCTAAGATTGGAAAAAAAATATTTAAAATCCACCGAATCAAGCCAATGCCATTGTTTAAAATACTATTTTGTAGTACTTGTGTGAAAGAAGAAGTGAAATATAAAAACATTTCATGGATATGTGTATAACCTCAAATATATTTACTATAGAGTATTAACTCTAGATAAGATATTATATTTAAATAATTAGGTATCTATTGGACGTTTATTCCTAAAAATTATCAAGTAACCTTTTAGAAAATTAAATTAATGAATAATTTGATGAATTTTTCTTTTGTGAAATTCCAACATTATCCACTTACAATTACTGAGACAACTTTTGACCTATCCATGGCAAGGCAATGAAAATATCGCAATTTTGTTTTAGTAAACTTTAAAATGGAAAATAACAGCTTAATAACTAATAGTTAGTGTTGCCAAAATGCGAGACCGAGACAAGTCTTGGTCTTGCGCAAGACTCTCGTAACATATTTGCAGTTGCCTATTAGCTTATTACTAGAGAGATATTACTGTAATTTTTTAGATATGAGAAACCTAACTAAATCCAAATGAAAAATTAGAAGAGTTAAATGAAAAAGTATATTGATTACACCAATTCTTTACATATAGTAACTAAAATTGTCAAGTATTAGTGACTATTTTGCCTCAATTTTTATTCAAAAAATTGATTTTTTTTACCAGTCCTGCTCTTAGTCTTGCACTTTGCAAGACCAATACCGATTCCGCGCAACACTACTAATAGTCCTACAACCCATAATCATTTATAAGTTAAATGTTCAATTATACTTTCAAACATCTGTAGGCATATATGAGCCTTTCGGTTGGCAGAATGATAAACTCCAATTTTACTAGAATTTTATTGCCTATCGTCGATATAATAAATAGACATTTTGTAATTATATTGGTCTTAATGACTTGTTTAAGCTTTAACCTTTAGCTCCGTTTAAAATGCACTTCAAAAATTTGATAATAGCCCAGCATTGCTAGAAAATAATTCCTATTCAAAGTAGAGCAGTAAGTGAATGAAAGTTGTGTGTTGCACTCACCAGGATTTTATTCACAAAAGTTATAACTTAGACGTGAAAATCCCGGTGAAATCGCAAAAGCAAAAAATCAACGACATACAATGCATCAACATTCATCCTTGTGAATGAACAGTTGTCTCAACTGTACAGTGCTCCGTTACCCATACTTCAAGCAAAGCTAAAAGACGTGCGAAATTTGTTAGCATACATTCCTGTACCAGAGTCAGAATATTTTTCAACCCTACTGAACAACCAAATTGCAATAAAAGTCCAACAAGAAGATGAAATAATTGATGATGATTAGGTGGATTACGAATAATGTGAAATTATTGTATACTTATTACTAAATAAATTTTGAAAATTATGCTTCAACATATTTTCTTTTCTTCAAATAATTCCTGGACTTTATGTGTCTCTCACAATAATGTTTCACAAACCAATAATTTCATAACAAAATTAATGAAAAAGAAATTATTTAATAAATACAAAATGCATAAATTTGATTTAGAAAAAAAAATTAAAACAACAATACAATAAAATTTTATTAATCCATTGACCGTCACCATCAGTACGAGGGACGTGACGGGTAAATGAATAAACGGAAACAGAAATGCTATTAGAAAAACACCTTATCCTATTAATAGTATTTAAATTACTGTAATTTTGGTTTAAACATAAATTAAAAACGTTTTCAATTTACAAAATATTTATTATTAAATGACTAAAAAAGATTTACAGTTAGAAAATAAAAGTAATCAATAACTGAGACCTGAGACAGTAATTCAGGAAGGGTATGAGATGTTTACATTTTCTCAGAAACCCACAGTCTCATTCAGGTTCTTTCATTTCCTGATGAACAATTTTTTTTTTTTTTTTTCATAAAAAAAAAAAATAGCAAAATAATTATACTAAAAGTAAATGTATATGAACTACAAGGAACTAAACAAAACAAAAGAAACTAAACTAATCAAAATAACTACACCAGGGATGGTTGGTTATACTTCAGCCAAATTTATCAATTACGTTTAAAAAAGCTCATAAAACGCTATAAGCCAACCAACAACCATGTTATACACTGTTGTGATATTTTAGTGCTGTGTTTCTTGAATACAGCTTAGTTTTTGTCAAAACCATTTTTTTGGCTATTTCAATTTTGATGAAACTTGGTTCACATTTTCTTTCTTAATATAAGTTCAAAATTTATTTTAAATATTGCCATTATGTATCTTTTGTTACTTAACATTAATCTTTATTGTTTTTGTAATATGTTTTTTTTTTTTCTGTTTTAGTGACAAAGGGGAATGTAACGAAACAGTGCAGCAATCTGTAGAAGAAAATATTTCTAAGAACCTATCTTTGGAATGTGAAGAAATCGTTATTATATCGGATTCAGAAAGTGAAAGTAATGAAGTGGAGGTTTGTTAATTTTATTATTATTATTTGCATTGAATATAGGTTTATTAACACATGATATCTCTGTGCTGTGTAATGGTTGGAGAAGCTGTGTCATTCTCTAGTATCTCTAGTCTTTGCTACCTCTAATTTTTGCTTTCCTACCTATACTAGGTAATAAAGTATTTTTCAAGTTTAAAGTTTTCTATGGATCTATACGTTTCAGAGCTCCCTGAGTCCGAAGACAAACACATTTTTAGCCATTGGTCTGTCTGTGCCAAGATTTTCTCGGGAACTAGTGAACTGATTTTGTTGCTTCTTTTTTTATTTTGTAGAGTTTTGACACAAATTGGATGCTCCATGCACAATGTCTGCTGTGCAATAAATGAAAAACACTTTTTGCTATAGACTGTAGCGCAAAAACGGCTGTTCTAATAATTTGCCTTTCAATTTTCATATATGGACTTAATTCCTGAAAAAATTCAGGAAAAAAAGTTATAAAGAACTGTTTTGGGGCCTAACTCGCTAAGTATATATTCTATGGTAAAATTTATCACAAAACTTTTGAAAGGTGATTAAATTTCCTACAAAACTACACAAAAATCGTTCATTTCGGACAACTATTAATGAAATTACAGCTATTCAATTTCCAATGTAAGATTACGGGTTCATATCCCGGTGCCAAAAAGAAGTGAATGAGAAAAAAAAGATAACTAAGTGAAAGTAAGAAAATCTGTTGCCTGCATCACACAAGCTTCCCTATTTCCTCTACTTTTAACAGAAATTATTGTTTGACAAAATTAGGCTATGGCAAAAAGTTTTTGATCAGCAATATTAGAGGGTATTGACATTTTTACACTGACCTACCTTGAGCCGGTTTACGTTGCTTTAGATTATCAAATAAATCGTTCTCAAATCTTTTCATTGATCAATTTTTAGGAAAATAAATCTAATTCAATTTTTATTTGTTTTTTTTTTTTTTTTTTTTTTTATGGACTATGTAAAGATATAAATACTTTTCTGAAATAGGTAGGAAAGTCGTGTGAGTGGACACACCAGATTTTCTATTTATACGTTTCTAAATATTTTTGTATATATAGTTTCTGTAAAAATATTAGTCATTTAGTACTTTTGCGTTTCTAATTCTAATCATTATGCTTTTACTAGAATATTGTGATTTAATATATTAATGCTTTATTCTATTTTAGGTTATTGATGAGATTCCTCCTCCTACAGTTACTAAAAATGTTAGAAAAAGACAGCTACCTGTACTACCGGAGAAACGGCCTGGGCTAAAGCGTCAAAGGGTGAGTTCTTCACTAATGGAATTTGACTCTATATATTATGCATTGCCTTTTCTATTGTTGTTTATACACGTATGCTGTTTATATACTGTTTATAGAATTGTATACTTGAAAATCTTATAAATTACAGGTTTGTATAAAAAAAATCCAGATAAAATTCTTTAAATCTTGTTTTGTAAATTTTTATTCTAGGATACTTTATTATATTTAAATATACATTCCATCTGTTCGCCTTATTGCATATTCACACAGTATTTAGATTAAAATAATGACAATGATGTATGTTCTCTAAACTCTTTTTTTTTTTTCCTATTTAATCAAAATCTACATCAGCTACAAAGTATTGCTGTACATTTTGAGGTATTTTTATAAATTCATCAGTCTTTGATACACATAAGATTTCTTTTTTTTTTTCTAAATCTACTTATTTGGTTTATAAGAATTTAATCAAACCATTTATACAAAAAAAATAATAATAATGTAAATTTATTTTTATTTGAAAAATTATGGCTTTTTGGCAAATTTTACTTTATGTGATAATTCTACTTCTTTCTTATTAATGGAGATAAGCCAAAGAATTTTATTTGTTAAGATTCCAGAATAACCGTTGTTGACCATTTTCCAAACATTTTAACTTTCCAAACAAAAGTTTATTTGATTTACCGATACAGTGCTGAGAGAATCCTTCCCTCCCTTTCAGGGGATGTCATTTATGACAACTCAGCTTTTTCTAAAATATGCTGCTATTCATGTTCTAATCGGTTCCTGGGATTACACTTTTGATTCTCGACTAGTATTGATTTTAGTCTGTTGACTAACTGTTGTTTTCACTAGTCATGCGATATTTCGTTTTGTTTGAGTTTATCATTTTATTCATGGTGGTTAATTAGATCACAGCCATCAATTCTAGGAACCTTATTAACCCGCTTTTCGATATCTTTATTGAACCAAATATCTGAATAGAATAAGTGTGTGAAAGTTTATTGGTGGTGATTTTTGAAAATTTATAAACTGCATCTAAATTTGTTTATATCCTTATGTAGATGAGAAGTCTCCAAACCTTTTTGGACATTGAGACTGCCACTAAGTCCCGCAGGCCATGGCTTGTAATGAAAAGACAAAATTTTGTTCTATAAATAACACATTAATTGTAAAATGAGCTTTATAAGAGAAAAAAAATCCATACAATAAATGTTGTAGTAACCTCTTGTATGAGTAATTTGTTAAATTTCATATTTTTTTAGTAGCTCTTAAAACTTTAACCCGTAATCAATGAAATTTGTGGGTACTTCTTCACTAGCAGGTTGGGACTGACTGCTATCTGCCAATGTTTATAACCTGAACACTGATAATTCTGATAAGGCAGTGATAAGCCTTCTTGTGATTCCTATCTTCGTATTATTGTATATATTCGTGTTATTGAAAGTGTAAAGAGAAACAAAAACAATGTAACAAAAAAAAATATACATTTTTATTTTATGACATATATATTAATGAAATACTTATAGAAGATATGTATAAAAGAAACATATAAAAGAAAAAATATCAACACAATAAACGACATATGTACAATTTATTTTCACTTCGTGTTATTTATTTTGGTACGCAAAATACTTTTATGCTATTTAAAATACCGAGGAACGGGTCCTATTCTTTGTGTACCCGCCGCCACAAAAATTCGCATAAATATGAATCGAGGTGTTGTCTGGCAGTTCCTCTATGTATTTTATTTCTCCACTTAGTTGAGCCCTGTTTTATGAACCTCAGTTGATGGATCGACAAAATTATACCGGTGATTCACTTGGAAATGGTCATAGTTTGCTTCGTTCAGTTGTCGGGTGTTGTATCCTTTCCAACAGTCCGAATAAATGGTCGTTCCCTCTTCTATATTGTCTTTAATTGCTTGTAATTAGGTTGTTGCCTTTCTGCTATTTAATTTGACGATAAAACACTCATCTCTTTCTCGGCAAACTCCACCAATCATCCATTGCTGAGGTAAAACTCTCCCCACATGATTTTTTCATTTAGAAAAATGACTCGTCTACTTCAACCACTTTAAAGTGAACGTAATAAGGGAATAACTGAAAAATAAATAATGTAATAACTGGAAGGTTTGGCGGGATAAGAAGAGGGAGGTTATGTGACGTAACATTAGATTACATAGATAAGAAGTGAGGTTTCGACCCGGCCTGCTAGTGAAGTAGTACCAATTTTTGTTTGGATCTAGATTATTCTTCTTACATCCTCTAATAAGCTTAACTATAAGAAAAAAATTTCAATATTATGACCCTTTTCTGGGTTATTGATCCGTTTGTTTATAAATAACTGGCAAATTTAAGGTTTATGGATGTTATGGATGTGGAGATGGTATAACTTAGAACTTTTATTGATTATAAATAGCTTACAATTTAATAAACTAATTTATATGGCAAATAAGTTATTGTCATTTGTAAAGTGATTTCAAAACACTAACATAGGTGTATTCTAGTTATATAGGAAACCGATAAATTCTCGATAACTATCCATTCAGAAAATTTATAATCATCCAACAATAATTACTTTCATTCTTTTATTAATAGATTATTATATTTATTGGATATTTTATTTACTTTTTTTCTTCCTATCCTCCAGAGAGAAATACTTTATTTAAAGCAGTGCTACCCTACTATATAGGGTTGCTCGATAGACAGCATTCTCATCAATCCTTTTTTTTGGACATACAAATTATATACAAATTCCTTTTCATATTACACAGCACAAACAATATAAATACTACAATATACTGATACATACAACTACAGTTATACAATATATTATATGTACATATTTCGGTGAAACCAATACAAGATAATTCTAAAATTTATAGGGCTAAAATAAAAAATATATATATTGTATTCGAATGCCTAAGTTTTAACACCAGAAAATTAGAACGCACACACCACAACACAGACAAAAATATAAATAAGATAATATAATTAATATTTAATAAGATAATGCAATATAAATAAGATCTAACCAAACAGAAAGTCGATACTGGTTACATCTACAATTTGTGCCTATGTTCCTCTACAGAAATCTACCTGAACCCTGAATTACTATATTCCTCTTCACTATAATTAAATAACTGGACCCGAAAGACAGGAAGTGCTGCTGCCGCTATGCGCACTTCTGTTTTTTCTGCGTAGTCTCTTAAATTCCATAAGGTCAATCGTAAAGCTAGTCAGTGATTGGTTATTGTTTAATACAGGATTAGGGAGACCAAGTGACAACTTTTGTAGGTGTGGTTTGTTGTGGGGAGATAATGGAAGCTTCTTCTCCCACTCATTGTTTAGACTGGGTAAGTTAGTTACCAAGGCTTATGCTTATTGGTGCTCAACATAATTCATTAGTCGCGGAGGTTTTTTTTTTCTTCACTCCCAGTAGTGGATTAATGCCAGAGTTATAAGCCTTCCCCTCCCCCCGCTAACACGGAGACATGAACTCGTATTCTTGTATCCTAATCAGGTTGCCAGGCAACGTGTGTTTTACATACGCATAAGCACGCTCGACCATCCCCCCTCATGAAATGCTTTGCCGAATACATTTTAATCTTGTTCCGTATGCAACTCTCCTGTACATTCCTTCAATTTCTAAGTGAATCAAATAAAAGAGTATCCGATCTATGCTGCAGGAATTTCTAATTGATCGCCTCGCCGTGTTAATCAAGGAGTTTGAATTTCCCTTAATATGCATTACACAATATTCATTTTAAATTCATGCTAGCTTTTTTGTCTTTTCTGGTATATTATAATGAGAATAATATTGGTTAACTCAATTTCTTTTTTGTTCACTAATTCATGATTTTCAAAATTTATCTATCTTATTATCTGTAATATTGAGACTAAGTTACCAGACTTCTTGTTCTTGTTTCTTTTAGAAAGATTCGTTTTTTTATGTTATCAATGGATTTATAGCATGATCCATAAATCTTAGAATAGTCACTTTAATACCTTTTCGATATAAAATAAAAATTGTGTGCACTAACTATTTAAAAATTGTAGCCTAAACTTATAGACTGTGATACACAGACTTCTTTTTATCAAATTATTAACGTCCAGCTGAAACTTCGTAAATAGCTTCATCTCATCGTAACCTACAAAAGTTTTATTTACGAAAATTCTCTGAATTGGGGCATTTTCAATTTAAGAGGTTGGAAAACTTTGTCCATTACTTAAGTATTAAAAACTCGTAAATACCCATTTGCTTTCCACTTGGATGGTAAGATAATTTGATCTCAAAATCAATAAAAAAGGTGACCTACAAAAATGTTAGGCCGTTTGGTCTATAGAACCTCGTTATTTTGACAATTTGGAGGTGTAGGTCACTTTTTTCTCGACATTGTACTCAAGTTATCTTACGATTCAAGTGGAAAATCAATGGTTATTTATGAAATTTTAGTACCTAATTAAATAGACGAAGTTTGCCGACCTCCAGATTGAATGAAAACACCCCAATTCAGAGAATTTTCGTAAATAAAATATTTGTAGGTTATGATGAGATATGAAGCTATTTGCGAAGTTTCAGGCAGATGTTAATAATTAGATAAAAAGGGGCTTGTACCATGGTCTATTAAATATTCATCTCCTTTTTTTTTTTTTTCCTTTGCATCCTTTTTTTTTTTTTTTTTATTTATTTATTTATTTTTTTATATATTACAACATGTCATACAGATAAGTTACAAGTTTATGGTTGTAGTAACCTTACACTTGACATAACAGTGGTTTGAATACTGCTTCGAAAATTGAAATTAATTTTTTACAGTAGGAAAAATCTCATAAAAACCTACATAGAGAGAGAGAATCACTTTATTATCATAAAATAAAATAAAATAAATGAAAAAAAAAATTATGTTACAATCATTAAAAGGGCAAGAAACTAAATATAATTTATGTGCAAAAGGAAAATATATATATATATATATATATATATGTATACATCCACACACACACACACATACACATACTCACACAACACACACACACATGGGTGATTGAGTTTATTGTTAAGAAATCGTTAAATTTTCACAAATAAACTAATTGATTTAGACGTTTAGTAGTATGTGTTTAGTCCGTCTGTGTTCCTTTGCATCCTTATAACCAGTCAACAATTGTTAAATTTATCATATCATTATATAACATCAAATTCTAGAAATGGTGTAATATAACTTTTCATATTAGCTGTTAGTCTTAAAAATTTTATATAGATTCAACTGATCCTTCCTGACTTTTTTTTCCCCTATACATTTTACGATTCTCATTTAACTCAGCCTCTGGCAGACATAAAAAGTCACTCCATTTCTTCTGTTCATAATCATCCTTCTCTGATGCACTTATTTACCTTAATATTTCCTGCTTGCATCCAAGAAGTTGGTTTTGTTTAGCCTTGAAACCCTGCAGATTTTCTTACCAAAAGAGTGGTATTGTTTTACTTGACATTTATTAACTGTTAATGTTATTTTTATCAATGGTCAAAATTATAACAACTGTTTGTATTGCTATTATCAGATGATCCTATTCCTATCAACTTCATAACAAACCTAATTAATACGAAAACAATAATGAACCTTCTGAAACATTATTAGCCAATAATTATATAAATTTTCAGATGGTTTCTATAATACTTGAAGCAATAGTTATTCTATTAATACATTTAATAAATAATGAAAAATTTTCATTAAATCTTTAGACTAATACACTTTAGTAGCACGAAATACTTAAAAATTGTTTACATTATTGCATTTGGATTTGTTCTATTTGAATATAACACACCATTTCTTACATTTGTAAGATAATATATTTTTATGGTTTTGAAGCATAGAGTATAATAATTTTATCAGTTAACTATTTCTATAGTTATAATTGACAGGTGCGGATAAATATATGTAAGTGCAAAAAAAAAAAAAAAAAAAACTATTTCTAAATAAATAAACAAAGTTTTCTTATTTGATAAATATTAATTGGTATTACTATTGTTTTACATATTGCTATGTGATGGTAATCTAAAATTTTACCATTCTGTTCTCTCAAACATGAGATAATGGAACTCTGCATAATATTAAACAATGGAGATTTCTCTTGGTTTTGGGGACGATTATTTTTGCAGGGTTAACTGTAACTGTAATTGTTGCAGTTGGCTGAGGGTGGTGCTGAAACTTCTTCTGGGATGTGCCTCACCGTCAATGAAGAAAGTGGCTCTCTGTTGTCACAGGCTACGGATAATCCTTCTTTTAGAACAGATGAGTTAGAAAATAATCCACAAAAATGTGAAATCAATGTTCGAAACAGAGAATCTATAAATAAGCTAAAAGACCCTGGTTTGGAAGATCCCTCTTTAATATTAATGATTGAAAAGGTTTGCACTCTTTCTGCCTGTGATCAGACTGAAATTGATCAACTCAATACTGACTGCTTTAGTACAAACGAGGTAGACCCTATTCAAAATCCCATACAGTATGTAGATTTAGTTTCTGACAATGAAACTGATCAAGTATTTGTGATCTCAGATACTGATAGCGAATCGATTGCTTCAAGCTTGTTAGATAGCGATAGTAGTCTTCTTGATTTAAGTGAGATCCCTGAATCAGAAAAGTCGCTACTTCTCGAAAATGTTTCCCCAACAATCAATTATGCTAAAGAATTTCCCAGAAGAAATCAAGTTCATAAAAAAAGGAGGAAGAAGAAAAAACAGGTAACTCAAAAAAAAATAAAAACATCTGCCAAAACTAATCAAAATCTTGAACCCAAATTCGACGAAACTGTATGTAATGAGCAAATTAGCATATCTTCAAATCAAGGAAACCTTAAGTTTTCTAGTTCTTCTGGGATTGCAGATATAAATATTCCTTCGAGTTCTCTGCTGGTAAGTCGATCATCTGAAGAAGAATCTTTCAGAGGCTTCTGCAATGAAGGGACTCAGTCAAATAATGAATCGGTTGGTATCTCTACTCCAGTTACTGTTGAAGAATCGACAGAGGCGAATAAAACGTGTATTAATAATGAAAAAGTTGTCAATTCTGCTCAACATATGCCAGGTAATGATATTTTTTTATCCAGTGTTGATGATACCAGTGAATGTTTTACGTTAAATAATCTTGATTTAATTAATAAAGTTAAAAACATAAAAGATCAAGTTCCTGATCTTGGTGAAAATGCTCACCCAAAATATACTGATAATAACACTGTTAAAACAACTTCAAACCCGGTTGTTTTAAAATTGTTAGCTAAGGATGATACAAATTATAATAAACCAATTTCAAATAATTTTAAATTATCTAAATTTAAAAATAACAATCATTCTAATGCCACTGTGACTTCACTACAGGAAGAATGTTCAAAGAAGAGCAGTATAGGTGCTGTAATCTGCGACTCCGATCCTTTAGAGCTGTCTAGAAATATTAAAAATACCAATGAAGATGAGATTGGCTCAAGTAAACTTGAAGTGACAGCAACTCCTCGTCAACCAGGCAGCGATGAAACTAATATCAGTAATAATTTAATTGAAGAATTATTCTCAAGAAAGAAATCAAAGAAAACTCTGAAAACAAATAGTAAACCAGCTATTGAAAAAAGTAATAAGTCAGGGCAAACCAAACGGGCATATAAAAAAAATAATAATAAACTCAAAATTCTTTGTTCATTGGCTTTAAAACAACCTTTTGGTGAAATAAGTAATTCATTATCTAATTTAAATAAAGTTCAAAATAATAAAAATAAGTCTAGTAAAAATATATCCTCTGAGACAGACCCTTTGCCTGAAGTTGATACTGATGTGAAAGTAAATTTTAGATCAGAAATCAGTTCTAAGGAAGTTGGCCTCGGGATATTCGATATTCCTGTAGGTCACTTTTTTAATGTTAGTTATAATTCAATAGATAAGTCGCTATCGCCCGAAAAGTCTGGGTCGGATTTACAATTACATTCACCTAAAACTTGTACAAAAGTTATTCTAAAACCAGACTCTTCTATACACTGTTCTGAATCTCATGGAGAATCTGGGTCATCGATATATAGTGCTGATCTCCCTATGGGATCTCAGTCATCTCTAGTGGTTTCTGAGTCTGAAAATACTTCTAGACATCAAGCAGGGCTAGAAAAGAGTATTAGAGGAGTTTCTTCAGATTCACATTCTTTAAATAATCTATCCGTAGAATCTCCTGCAGATACTTCTCAGATTCAGATTGGGACACCATCGTCAATGATAGCATCAGAGATTCCCTTGAAATCTAATTCCTCAGAAAATATTTCTGAAATTACATCTATAGCACCTTCTTCATGCACTTCTTACAAGGTAGATTTGGAATTGTCAAAAAGTGTTGGATCTTCTACTAAATTAGATTCAAGTGAAAGTACGCATGAAGCTGATTTAGAATCACAGTTATCTACTAAATATTCTGAACCCCATCAAAATTCTCTACTGATAAAACATACTGACGTTAATACTTCACAAACTCCAATAGAATCAATGAATTATAAATCTAATTTAGACATTGAAATGGTATTACAATCTGAGATGGAGTCATCTAAATGTGTCTGTGAGTTTCCAAAGATATCACATTCATCTCCTGATTTTTCTAAACCTCATTTTGTTCTCGATTTATCAAAAATAAATTCTAACTTATCTAATTTGCTTGAAGATGAAGACAATTTAAAGGTCCAAAACATAAATGGAGAAAACAACCTCCACAGTTTTCAATCTCATGTTAATTCTCCAGATGAAGAGTTACAGTCATGTAAATTAGACTCAATTGAAACTACAAAAGAAGGTGTAAAATCAGAGTTAACTGAGCAATCAGAAAATCGTCAAATTTGTGTTTCTGAATTTTCTAATTCACTTGAAGATAAATTAAATTTAAAGGAACAGAAGATAGATATAGAAAATAAGTCATCTGTTAATTTCTCTGTTGAAAATTTACAGTGTTTTAAACTAGAATCTGCAAATTCCCTGGAAGTATCGAAAAATTCCTCTGAATCATCTCATAACATCAAAAATAATAAACCTCCCAGAATTAAAGGTTCTAAGAAAAAATCTAAAGATTTGTGTAAATCTCGAAAAAAGAGTGCTTTTCCTATCAAGTCATCTAATACTAACAATAGTGAAGATCTGGTAGAAGACATTAAACATCTGAAACAGAAAAAACAAACCAAGCCAAAACCTGAAGTCAAAATTGATTTACTGGCATCTAAAGAATGCATTTCCCAAGTCCATTCAGTATTGCCATCTTCTGAATCTAATATTTCTCAGGAGCAATCAGTGTCAGAAACTCCTGAATTTTTTGCTGATTCTATAGTTCATATGAAGTCAAATATTTGTGTGAAACCTGAAGATGCGACAGACCTAAATTCATCCTTAAAAGTGTCAAACTTTTCTCCACCTTTAGATGAAGAATTCAATGAATGTTTTAAAAATCTAGTACAAGCCAATAAACGAGGAAAAGTAGAGACATTTTTTATGACAAACATTGAAAAAAAGTTTCCTATTGAAATTCAAATTGATTTGAAAGACATTGATGATTCCGTTATTTTTGATCAAGAAGCATGTATTAAAAATCAAGATTATAAAACCATTACACATGAAATGGATGAAGACAATGTTTTTGAATCAAGGAATTTCGAAAAGCAAATGTCAGTTGAAGATTCAACAGTTCATTCCTGCACAGAAACCAAAAAAATTTGTAGTGATGCACAAATTTCTCCACCTTTAGATATTGAACTTAGTGAATGTTCTGAAAATTCATTATCAGCAAATACCCACTCAAATTTCAAAACAATTTTAACTCACACAGAAGAAAACAAGTTGCTTGATAAAATTGACAGTGATTTAAAAGTCATTGAAGATTCAGTATCCATTATGAATAAAGGGTGTTGTTTGAGTAACGAAGATGATAAAAAGTTAAGACATGATACGGATGAAAATAGTGTTAATACTGCATCGAAGGATTCAGATGGAATAAAGCATGATTGGTATAAAATTTGCATTACTGACTGTTCAACTTGTAACAATACAATCACATTAAGAGCCAAACATAATATTATGATGAATGATTCTATTGATATTTGTTTTTATTGTAAGGCAAAAATTAATAAAACATCCCTTGATGGACTAAGCTGTCAGGCTTTAAGTCCCTGTTCTTGCCAAGACAACACTAATAATTTTACTGTAGAGCAGCATCATGAAGATTCAAATTCTAAAGTTTTCAATGACAGTGAATTGTCTGTAAACTGTTCATCAATTGCAAGTGATTTCAATTCTAATTATAAAAGCAATAAGCAATCTCCTGAAAAACAAAAATCTCCTTCCAAAGATTGTTTAATAATGGATTGTAAAGAAATAAGTACACTTCAAGCAAAATCTTTAAATACATCTAATTTGTCTCCTGAAAAAAAAAATATAGCATCTCAACCAGAAAAAAATCTAATGGAATCCATTCCAGATTTAATTGAAAAGAGTATGGATGCATCGGAAATCACTGAGAGTGATACCCAACTTATTTCTGAAAAGATAGATTCCAAAATTCCAAAAATTAAGTCAGTAGCTAATATGAATGATAATGAGTCGGCTAAAACTCCTATTAAAAGTACTATTCGACAAATTGATGATATAAGATCCCCTCTGTTGAGGCTTCATTACGATGAAGTATTCAAAGTGAAAGTTATTTCGAAGGAGCCTAGTAGAAGTTCAAGTAATAATAACGTTTCCTCACTAATATCTCATGTGGAAACGTTTTTGGTGCATAGTAGAAAACGTTTTAGGGAACTACTCAAGTCAAGATATTTTTCTGAAAATGATAAAAATCTTACCGTTTATACTGATGTCTGTGGTTTTCGTTATGTCCGTCTTTTTAATGAAAATATTCCAGAAAAAATTGACCCCATGGTTATTTTTGAAACAGGCGGGGATATTTCCTATTATTTAGAAAAGTTAATCAAATGTCATGAAACAGAAAGTGTAACCAGTCCCCGAATAGTACTAATTGTATATGGTAACACTTTAATCCCTGATGAAAATGTATTTAATTTGTTGCAATCAGCTTCAAATATCAAGAATATAAAACTTATTGTAACTACCGTTTTGTCACAGAAACCTAGCATACTGAAATTTAATAAAAAACTGATATATTATTCAAAGAGGTATGGTTACTATATATGGGATATTACTAAAATACATTTTCTAACCAGTACAGAAAGATAATATTGATTTATCATTGTAGTCATAAAATTTAATTTGCATTATTTTTTAACATTAATCCAATTCTTTATATGTGACTGTATAAAATCCTTCATGATATTGATAGTACCTTTTACAAAACCTGGCTGTTTGATTGATTATTAGTCTTGTAAATATGTATAGAATAAATTAAAGTAATTATGATCTCAGAATAATTAAGTTCCAATGAAAATATTTATAATAATATAACTCATCTGTATGTTTTAATTCTTTAAAATGTATGTAAAATATAAATACATATATTTTGTACTCATTTTTAGTTGTATAAATTGTATGATATATCAGAATGTAATGTTTTTGTTAATAGACTTGTATAGTGGTTTTATTATATTCAAGAGTATTGTAAACTATTTTATTAATTATGTATTTGTAATATATTCTTCATTTATTTTTGAAATATGTGTTTTCATTATCTATCTATGTTAAAAATAAATCATTAATTTGATTTTTAGGTAAGTTATATAATCAATA